CTTCTGGTTTCTCCCTCGTCTGTAAAATAAATATAATTTTAGTTCATAAATTGAAATGACCTTTGTTACAAAAGAAAGTTATGTTACTGCCATAAATAAAATATCTTCAACAGCCCATAAAAGTTCACAGCTGGACATGAGACAACCTGCTTTGTACAATGACCGTTGTAGGTAATAATAATAATACATGACATGCCTAAGCACGGTGGATCACTTAGACATGTCATATCCAGTTGTTCGGCAAAGTATTTTCCAGCCGAGTTGAATCCGTCGATGACCTCTCGGTTGAACTTGGACTTACCTAGTCGGACTATTAGTCCCAGGTAAACGTACTCGTCAACAACTTCGAGCATAGTGCTCCCAACAACTACCGGCATAGGTGTGACATGGACATTAAACATGGTCTTTGTTTTGTCCATGTTCATTCGCCATTGATGTTAATACCGTATCCTTTCCAGTCCAGTAGCTTGAAAACGTCTTCCAATGCAGCGGTGAAGAGTTTCGGGGATATAACATCACCCTGTCTTACACCTCTCTGCAGTTGGATAGGTTTCGTACTCTGGTTCTGTACTCGGATAGCCATCGTAGCCCTACTGTATAAACACTTCAGCACTTCGATATACCGACAGTCAACTTGGCACCGCTGAAGAGACTGTAGCACCGCCCAAATTTCGACGAAATCAAAGGCTTTCTCATAGTCCACGTACGCCAGGCAAAGTGGCAGATTGTACTCTTCGGACTTCTGTACAATTTGCCGAAGGGTATGTATGTGGTCTATGATACTACAGCCTTTTCGGAAACCAGCTTGTTCGGAAGGCTGGAAGTCGTCGAGTCTGCGTGCGAGACGATTCGTAATGACTCTCGAAAACAGCACGTAGATGCGGCTCAGAAGGGATATCGGTCTATAGTTCTTCAAGAGGGCGTTGTCACCTTTCTTGAAGAACAAGACCATCGTACTTCTGATCGACGCCTCCGGAGTAGTGCCTCCATGGAGGACGGAATTAAAGAGCCTCTGAAGGACTTCAAGTACCGGTTTTCCACCCGCTTTCAAAAGTTCCGCTGTAATTCTATCCTCGTCCGGGGACTTGCCGTTTTTAAGGTGCTGGAGAGCCATTCTAATCTCGCTCAGACTGACGTCCGGAATATCATCGGAATAGTGTCGGATAAGACTTGCTCTTGGATCGGTACTCACACTTGCGTGTGGCTCCAACGATGAAGTGTACAGCTGCCCATAGGACCTCTCAATCTCACTCAAAATCTCAGGTGTCCCGGAAACGATGCTGCCACACTCAGTCTTCAGCTTTGACAGTTGGCTCTTACTGGCAGACAGATCTTTGTCAAAGACTTTGGAGCCCTGGTTCCGCTCGATCGCTTCTTCAATACGAGCAGTATTGAAGTTGCGTCAGTCAGTCATCTCCCGTCTAACAGCCATGATATTAAGAGTGTGATCGGAGAGTTTTTGTGTTCTTCTGCGGCGGGTCTTGCAAAACTTAGGTCCGACCGCATGGACAGGTTACACGAGCTTGTCATTCATATGACATTACCTCTAACCATTCGGTGATCGCTGCCAGTTTTCACCCTTGCGATCACTGAGACATCACTGAACAGTTAGCGTCTGGTCGTCATAATGAAGTCAATCTCATTTTTTGTCGAACCGTCGGGGCTCGACCAGGTCCACTTCCTGTGGGGCCGCTTCTGGAAGAAAGAGTTCATCATAAAGAGGCCCTCTTTCTCCATAAAGTCGGCCAGCTGCTGGCCCCTACGGTTCCGTTGCCCTACTCCAAATTTCCCCACCTTCAGCTCACCGTTTTCTCTTGTGCCTAGTTTTGCGTTGAAGTCTCCCATCAACACCGTGTAGTGTGTTTTGGAGGAATGCATGGCTCTGGAAATATCCTCATACATTTTTTTTGGTTGGTGCGTAAACCTGTATGACCTTCAGCGAATACCGTTTGATGATTCTGAGTATCAGGTTCGCGACCCTCGTCGACACACTCCCAATCTTTACAACGTTGTTGACGAGACTTGTGGACGATAAATCCGACACCTCCTTGAGACAGATGGTCGCCCTCCCGGTGATAGAACAAGTTGCCGGACTCGAGGATTACCGTGTCCTCCCTCTCTCTTCGGACCTCGGATAATCCAATAATATGCCACCTCTTCTTCCAGCTTCAGTATCTTCTCGTCAGTCCTCAGGATGCGTGCGTTATATGTTGCCAGGTCGAGTCGTCGTAGGTGGCAACCGAACCTCCACCGGAGATTCTTATCACCCCCTGCCCCGCCGTTACCATGGTCGCCAGCGTAGCCAGGAATAGCGGGGCCGCCGGGGACTGGGGGCCGTTTGTTTGCGTCGTTATTCATGGGCGGATATTTGCCATAGTTGCCACGCTTGGCGAGCGAGTTGGCAACCGCAGTTTTTTATTATATTAGTTTTGTTATTAGGAACACGCTGCTGCACATCTCCTGATTTGTTTCCCTCTGTCGCCTCTTACGACACCCACGGGATGATATGGGGTGGTGGATATTCTCAACCGCCACTACACGGCATGGGCAGCGTTCCGGAAACTACGACGCATCTTCTCGTCAGGTATACCTCAAACCCCCCCGAACGGGTTCCCACCTTGTCGTGGCGGGGGGGCTTAGTAGCCGTGGCTTGGTCTCCCACGGTGAACAAAGAGGAACCCACGTGGCTGGCCCGAGGTGAAGGGCCGGCCTGAGGTGGCCACTCCGAGTAGGCTTGAGGAGCCCACTTCGGATGTGTGCTGGTGGACTGCAGCGAGTGGGGACTCCGCACCATCTATCGCTGCAGCCGAGGTGGAGTCGCGGAGGAAGAGGAGTGTTGGTATGGCGATGCGCCACTCGCCCTATCCTCCGCGACTCAAACGGGGCCGCACCGTTGATGCGGTGGTGATGGGGCTGCGGGGGGAGAGGATTGTCGGTATTGCGAGGCGCCGCTCTCCCTATCCTCCGCAGCCGAATCTTGGTTGGCGGCGGAGCCATAGATCAGATCCGCCGCCGGGGTCGGGAAGGCTAGTACTCCTAAGTGCTCGTTATTCCTGGCCCCATGGCCTTCGCGCAACGGACGCGGGGGCGTCTGTTGCGCAGATGCAATTGGAGGCCGTGGAGGAAGGCGTGCCATGTGTTCCGGTGCGCCTTACTTGGGAAGGAGAACGGGACGAATATTCCTCTCCCGAGGAGGTGCTACCATGGGGCGGCAGTCGCTGGTAGGGCCGCGGAAGTATGCGAAAGCGTTCCCGTAGCCCTGCCAATATGCGACGAAGGTGGAACACCATGGGGTTTTAGTCGGTGCGAGTCCGACATAACCCGTCCTTGCCCCCGCGAGGCGGGTATGCGTAGGCATTTTCCCATGTAAAAAAAAAGGTATACCTCAAAACCGGAAAACTAAGTTGTACAACCAGTGCGTGTTGCCAGTGATGACCTACGGAACTGAAACGTGGTCCTTCACTGCTGGCCGTATGAGGACGCGCAAAGTCGCTCAGCGAGCTATGGAGAGGGCTATGCACGGAGTTTCTCTGTGTGATAGACTTAGAAATGAGGATATCCGCAGTAGAACGAGAGTGACCGACATAGCCCAACAGAATAGTAAGCTGAAGTGGCAATGGGCTGGGAAAAAAGGTTCTCGAGTGGCAGCCTCGTACGTGTAGGCGTAGTGTAGGGCGACCCCCCACTAGATGGAGTGACGACCTGGTAAGACATGCAGGAAGTCGATGGATGCAGGTGGCTCAGGACCGTGGTTTGTGGCATACCTTGGGGGAGGCCTATGTTCAGCAGTGGACTTGTGAAGGGCTGTAATGATGATGATGATGAAAGTATTTTCCTATGCAGTAACGATTTTGTAAATTTATATACAAATATGTGTGTTATGTCCGCTATTTATTCCCGTCACTTTAGTGTTATTTAGCCAGGTGGTGGGATGAAAGGAAAAAGTATAATCTTAACTTAGACATAGAATATAAAGATATTGTGTGTATAAAATAGCATGTCATATAAATAATACTTTATTTTCACCTGTCGTACTTTTTTTTTAGATTAGAAAACTTTATTTACTCAAAAAAAGTGGCAACCCTAGTTGTAGGGAGGATCTGCCTTAATTGTGACGTTTAGCAGACGAATTAATGATGGCAATGCCAGCCATTTTAGACCTTTTACGCTGTTCCTCATCAATAAACGAATAGATCTTTTTAAATTTATTTGTATTAAAAAAAGTGATTATTTTTTCGTATAATTAAAAAAATAATTTTAATAGAAACAACCGCTTTCTCGATTGTTGAAGCGGCACGCCATTAACCATCGTAAGTTCTGTTCGTAAACTGCTCCTAAATTACTATTAACAAATAAATAAAATGTAAAAAATTTGTGCAGTAAATGAACAGTAATATTATAGTGTATTATGAGGAAATGTATTTAAGTATGAGGATTATAATCTTAAGTGATTAGTACAAGTCGCGTCACGTAAGTCTAGCGCTAAACGAAACGTGGAGGAGATAGCTGCACATGTCGTATTAATATGCCAATAGACGTAGCCGTCCGCAAGCATCAGTAGCCAATCAGCGCGTGCGAACGATACGCGCAGCCAATCAGCGCGTGTGGACGACACGCACGCTCTCCGCAACCCGCTTACTACAACAATCACCTTTAGACTTTCGTGTCGCTTCGTATAGAAGATAGTGATTTTATGTGTTATATACTTATGCATATTGTACACATTTACGGCATTTACAAACAGCAATAGGGTAGACAAAAACAATTCTCCTTCTAGGTTATTAGATAAAAAGTGAAAGGGGTGGATTAAAAAATGCTATTTCAATTAAATTTTGTTCCGAGTTAAAAAGCAGGGTAGACGTAACGCACAAAGCGAAGTAAGTACTTACGAAAACATTCTATTTGAACGAGAGATAGACAATGAAATGACATGTTGATAAAAATGAGATTATTCATATTTTAATCTTAAAAAGGCAAGTACCCATGAGGCGATCTTTGTCTTAGTACTGCGGCTGGTGCAATGGCGGCGAGTCGCGTTCGGGCAGCTTGCGCACCTTCATGGTGCCGTCAGCGCCGCACGAGAACAAACGTCCCGCGTTGTCTGCACAAATGTCCCATTTTAATTTCAAAAATCAATCATATTTGTTTTACAAGCCTTCTCATGTTTTCTTCTGATTTATTTCAACCAAGCCGACAAGTTCCGAACACTCTCGGGAGTAATACTACGCGTAATAAAGTGGCAAAAGTATGCGTGTGCACACAAAAGGCACTCGTACTTACCTACTAGATGTCTGAAGTAACACTTATTTGACCAAAAATTTAAATAGTTAGATGCGCCCTTACCACAGTATGACCACTCCGAAATGTGTCCATTCTCAAATGAGTGAGCTCACTCATTCGCAATCAGTACTCATTAGTGCGACAGAGAAAGTAGTATACACAATTTCTGTAAGATAATAAGAGATGACACTATTGCGTTAGTGTGCGCGCGTCACCGTCTTGTAAGCGAACACATCCAAAAATAATGCCACAGTTTTCAAGGTGAAGGCGCATCTAACTATTTAAATCTTTGTATTTGACAGGTTCGGTGTAGATTTTCAATGTAGTGTTAAAGAGAAAAAGTTGTTACTTAAATAGATTTGAAATCAACAAAATATATTTGTACAAATGTGGGTCCTAGCCAGGGGCGGACCTCGAATTAGTGTGGCCGTTTGTGTATCATTGTTGTTTATGTATCATTTCGAAAATTAACTTTCTTAAGTTCTTTTATTTGCACTAAAATTGATGAAATTTTCATATATCATAATTATTTTTAAAGCTATGATAGCCATTGCCTTCAATGGCCTTTACATTCACAGGGCCCTGGGCTGTACCCCAAAAAGATTATATATGGATCCGTCCCTGGTTCTAGCTGAGATTTGAACCCAGATGCCGCAACTTATTGTCAAGTATTCTGTTCTACCACGACCACTATGCCGCGCGGTCGTTCAAATTGAAAGACACTTTAGAATAATGAAACACTATCCGATGTATTATGCATATTACGATTCAAGATCATAGCTTTAACTCAAAGAAAACATTTTTCAAACTATTGATTTGCAAGCTCTTACCAATGTGAATTTGCGTAACGCCTTGTCCAATGTGTTTAAAGAACGAGCTCCGAGCGTGTTCCCCGGCGAAAGTATACAGTAACTGATGAGTGGCCAAGGAGAACACCTGAGTATAAGAAATAACATTTAATTAACTAGTTTTAATTACCTATTAACATTCACAACTTGACATCTGGGCAATTTACTTGGAGTAGCTAAGAAATTTCAGACAATCCTAAAACTACTAAACGAGTTTTGTCTGTCTGGACGTACCATACCATAGATATCTTTGAGAAGCGCGCATTTAGCTACGAGCAGTCGTTATCGTATTTAGTTTGCATTATTTTTGTCGATATTGTCTTTTTAAGACTAGCCGTCCCTTCCCTTCCACACACCATTAGTATTTTCCTTTGAATCATGGAGATATTATAAATACATAAATTGCACATGTAAAGCCAATTTAGTGGAATTGAATACGATCTAGAGGAAACAAAAGTATTTTCATGTAGATTACCTACAAAAAGGAAAAAATATACATTTCAAAAAACTATTTTTTTAAGGATAGGGTGACTTCCCCGGCCGAGTCTACCCATTTGTGCTACAACTATACTACTAATATAACTGCAGCATGGCTCTACCACGTATAGACTATATAACTATAACAAGTATAAAATAATTATCAAATGATAGTCTTTGTGTCGGTGCTAAGACATCGTGTATAGAAAAATTAAAGCCCCGACTTTTGTAGCTTGGGAAATTATTTTGTTATTTTTTTGTTTTTGTTATCGTTTTTTTTTTTCAAATTATTTATTCAATTTTGAGTGGAGTAAATAACATCACAAGCACAAAATAGCAATAGAATAGAATCATTTTTATTCAATACTGATTACATGAACACTTATTGAAAGTCATTTTAGCTTTACCACTTACAATTAGAATGTCGTCTAAATAGTTAAATTAAAATCTTCACCCATAAATGACAAGATATGGCCGTGCGAACGAAAATTGTTCGCGGTTTAAGCATAGAATAAATCAGCGCCATCTCTTTAATACTCATGAAGTACCACAGAACCAGTGTTTTCACTTATGATTTTGGTTTTACGATAGAACCTGTAGAAATACTCCCTAAATTATCGTAAAAAATCAAAATAGCCATATTTATTGCACCTTATTTTCAATGTAAACAACATCATTGCAAGATTTGAATATTATTTCATTATTAAAAATCTTGGGTTTTGTGATGAAGAAGACGTTCTCATCATCAAATTATAATAACTCTTAGTCTCGTATGAATAACGAATACTTAACTAAGTAAAAATATACCATTATTCTATTTAGTCCATATATTCTATAGTCTATTAGTTAGTTCTATAATCTTCTATTCTATTCTATTCTTTAATAATATTATTTATTAAAGAAAAATTTTTCATTCTACACTTTTTTATTTCTTTTGACCCTACCCCTTCGATAAATCTTTAAAAAATAGATTGGGTGGAAATAAAAATCAGGGTTACATGAATTTCGGTTTTACCAAATTATCCAAAACCCTGTCAACTTGAAGAAACGCCTACAGCCCTACTTATATTAGTAGATTTACCCTAAAATAGTGCAAAATATCTTAATGTGGATACACTGCACGGACGCACGGCACGCATTGGTGGTCGCGTTGGTGCTCCATAAACAATTTAGCAACAATGAGTCGGTACCATTTTGTTTGTTCAATGACCCAGTCCATACGCTGTAGTATAATAAGTCTATGGTCTTCACCCCTATTTTTCCTCCCTTATGGGTGAAAATTTTTCGTCAAGTTAAAATAGGATTGCGCTTTATATGTATAGCCCTTTCAATAAAAAGTAGAAATAGGTGAGTGAGTGGTACCTACCGGGACGGACTTCTCGGCAAAAAGAAGTTTAACTACTTTCTGTCGGGGGACTATTGATGTGCGTAGTCGTCCCCGAGCGGTAAGAGTGACACACACATATTATGTTCACAACGCGTGCCTCGTTTGTGTGATTGGGGGGCATAGACAGCGTGGGGTGACGTACCTTGGTGTTGCCGTGTACGGTACCAATCGCGTAGTAGTCCTCGCACGATAAGAGCAACACGCACGTATGTTTATTGCGTGTGACGGCGTACCCCGATGTTGACGTGAACAGTATAGACTGACTAGTAATTCTCGCTTAATATCGCTCTTATCAAACGAACATAATATATTTACAGTGCGTACCTAGTGTGTGAATGTGGCGGCGTATCTTGATTTCATCGTCGACGTTACCAATCACGTAGTCACCGCGCGGCGCGTGCAGCACACGTTTATGATCACAGCGCGTGTTTCAAACGCGTGTTAAATCGTAATAATACCACAGTTTAAAGACCTTACAGTTGTAACTGCCGTTAATAAGGCGATACCGCCGCCCGCGTAGATATTAACGCGTAACGTGTATGCTAGGAGTTGCCACGAAATTGGAATAAAATAATTTCAGATATTACAATATTCATTATCATTTCTTAACATTAAGTACGTGCTTATAAGTTAAAAACATTTATCGAAAAAGATAATTTTTATTACTACATGAAAAAACACATTAACAAGTTTTGCACTGCCAAATATTTTCTTTTTATAGAACACGCTCGCGCCAACTGTATACATTGTATAGCAAATTCAGTAAAATACGCTAATACAAGGTCGCCCCACCCCCTGCCTCGAAAGATCCCCACCGTTGCTCTGCACAAGGACATTCGTTTCCTAACTGTAAAGTCTTTAAGCTGTGATAATACGTTGATGATGCCGCACAAAGTTCCCACACCAGCACGTCGCCGCGCCGCCCGCACGACACCGCGCGTTGTGTTATGTGGCGGTGTGGCGCTGTGTGCTGTGCGCTGTGCATGTGGCGGTACCTTGATGTCGCCGTCGGCGGCGCCGATCGCGTAGTAGTCCTCGCGCGGCGAGAGCGCGACGCACTTGATGGGCGCGTGGCGCGCGCGCAGGTTCCACACCAGCACGTCGCAGCGCCGCCCGCACGACACCGCGCGTTGTGTTATGTGGCGGTGTGGCGCTGTGTGCTGTGTGCTGTGCGCTGTGTGCTGTGTGCTGTGTGCTGTGCGCTGTGCGTGTGGCGGTACCTTGATGTCGCCGTCGGCGGCGCCGATCGCGTAGTAGTCCTCGCGCGGCGAGAGCGCGACGCACTTGATGGGCGCGTGGTGCGCGTGCAGCTTGTGGCGCGGCGCGCGCGCGCGCAAGTTCCACTCCAGCACGTCGCCGCGCCGCCCGCACGACACCGCGCGTTGTGTTATGTGGCGGTGTGGCGCTGTGTGCTGTGCGTGTGGCGGTACCTTGATGTCGCCGTCGGCGGCGCCGATCGCGTAGTAGTCCTCGCGCGGCGAGAGCGCGACGCACTTGATGGGCGCGTGGCGCGCGTACAGCTTGTGGCGCGGCGCGCGCGCGCGCAGGTTCAACACCAGCACGTCGCCGCGCCGCCCGCCCGCACGACACCGCGCGTTGTGTTATGTGGCGGTGTGGCGCTGTGTGCTGTGGGCGTGTGGCGGTACCTTGATGTCGCCGTCGGCGGCGCCGATCGCGTAGTAGTCATCGCGCGGCGAGAGCGCGACGCAATTGATGGGCGCGTGGTGCGCGTACAGCTTGTGGCGCGGCGCGCGCGCGCGCAGGTTCAACACCAGCACGTCGCCGCGCCGCCCGCACGACTCCGCGCGTTGTGTTATGTGGCGCTGTGTGCTGTGCGCTGTGCTTGTGGCGGTACCTTGATGTCGCCGTCGGCGGCGCCGATCGCGTAGTAGTCCTCGCGCGGCGAGAGCGCGACGCACTTGATGGGCGCGTGGTGCGCGTGCAGCTTGTGGCGCGGCGCGCGCGCGCGCAGGTCCCACACCAGCACGTCGCCGCGCCGCCCGCACGACACCAGCGCACCCGCGCACCCCGCCCACGCCACGCACGCCGCGCCGCCCTCGTGGCACGTCCACGCTGTACGTCACACCACCCACACTCAGCTCGTCGTCCTCATCCTTATTATTACAGCCGTTCACAAGCCTATTGATAAAATAGCCCTCCCCCAAAGAATGCCACGAAACATAGTTCTGAGTCACCTAGGTCGTCACTCCACTTAGTGGTGGTTCCACTTATTTCGCTTACAAAGCTGCCATTCGAAAACCTTTCTTCCCCATCGGAAATCGATTCTTCAACCTATATGATTGTCTCATTGCCACTTCAACCGAGAAACGCCGAACACAGATCTCTCCATAACTCGCTGAGCGATCTTAAGCTTTCTCTTACGCCCAAATACCTCATCGATCATCTCATAATTTTATATTTATCGACTCATTGACTACGACGTGGGTCTTAAAGGCAATCAACGCAGAATTAAATGAAGAGCGAGAACTTATATCCTAAACAGTCTAAAGTTTTAACGGTATGATAACAATCAGAATTCGATCCCTGCTGGCACTAATGATATTTATTAATTTATCCCTTGCTCGACAGTAAAAGAAAACATCGCATTTTATTCGAGGGCATATAGAGTTCATCGGCAAATAAACACGCAAGCACGTACAAACCCACACATTAAGTCGTGTGGCAAGCTGGCGAGCAGGAAAAATAACAATACGAGACGAACGGTAGGCGCTATGTTGGTACGTCCGGCGTGCGCGTCAAGCGATCGCGACCAGCGCGAAAGAATAGTACGTGTTCACGCGTCTTGCGTATTAATCTAATCGTATTAATTTTTTTCGCGATATAAAACATAAATACGGAGACGTTTATTAGCGAAATAATGTCTCGGTCTGCAATATGGTGCGGTAAGCACGAAAATTATAAGCATAATATTTTAATCCCTAAGACATTTGTGAGTATGTGTCAATTTAGAAAAATTTTTTAGCCCGCGCAAATAATTGCAGAAAGAAACCACATGTCATTTACAGCGTTGCATACTACACAGTTAACGCATGCTCGTATACACGCACGCACTCACGTACAAACACGCTCGCATACGAGAATACTACATATTTCAGAATAGTTGAGGTATAATAAAATAGTACCCGGTTGACCGAGCTTTGCTCGGTATTTTTCGCTCGGTTTTTTTTTTAATTCGTGTGTTTTGGAAATTATATTTAGATACAAATTACATACTGATGAAATACGAATAATATTTTTTGATCTTAGCGACATAATAGAAAAAACTGAACTGGTTATTTGAATAAAAAATCATGAGTGCAATTTTAGTTTAATTTAAATTTTCGTGTTTTTAAAAATACTAAAAAAAGAAAGGGCTCTAAAAAATAGATTTTCTCAAAAAAAGAAAGGAACTTGAAAAAAAAATTAAAAAAGTCGGTAGGTCGGTCTGGGCTCGAACCATGGTATTACGATTTTGTGACCGCCCAATATACCAATTAAGCTATTTGTAATCATTAATAAATTGTCAAAATTTACCTTCTTATTCTACTGATATTGTAACAGTTTTTCATTGCCTAAAAACACGGACAAAAAGACATTTTCTAAAAATAAATCCTAGCTAGATCGATTTATTGCCCCCGAAACTCCCTGCACACAAAATTTTATGAAAATCGTTGGAGCCGTTTCCGAGATTGATTATATATATATACAAGAATTGCTCGTTTAAAGGTATAGGATAAACAAATAAATAATTTAGAAAACATTAATACTTACAAACTACAAGTGCCTTCTTGATCGGCATAAGTGTATCCCATATGGCAACATTTTTACTCTCTGAGCTATGACCAGCTGCAAACACAAACACAGAAATTTCTAACTATTAAAGGTTGCTACAATTATGTAATGATAATTATTGCAAGAATAAAACTAGTAAATACCTGTGGCAACTAAACTACAGGAACCCAGGAAAACGAAGTCGCTTATTCCTTTACTATGACACTGATGAGTCTAGAAATAATAAGATTATTAAAATATCTTCATGTGCATTGTACATTAGTTAGTATATACAGTTAGTAAGTTTTCTGCGACCAACTGATGGCGAAAAATACACTCAAAACGCTAACTTCATATTAAGTAATGCTAATGGGTTTACTTGACAGTGTAGGGACGGTGTTAGAATATACACTACCCCACAACGTCCCCTGTTTGTCGTAGTGTCGTAAAAGTAAAAATTGCGGTTCTCAATCCGCTTGCCAAACATGGTAACCATGCAAATATCAATCTATGGAGAAAGGGATATGTTCAGCGGTGAACTTGAGTCAGGTTCAAGTGGAATGGGCTTTTTTACTTCGTACTGGAAACGTTGCTACCATTCGAAATGTAAGGGCTGTGCGTTCATAAATTAGCTTGCCAAGCGTGGTGAGTGCAGTAAAATCTTTAACGAAGTTAATGGTTATTGGTGCATTTTTGGAAAGGCTATCACTTTAAATATACGTAGGACTCCGTCTTTCTTTGTTTGTTTGAGCAGTAAACTGAAAACACCTGAGGATGTTGTAGGTGTCAAATTCATAGTATTACTTATCAGGACTCTGTCAGATGTTAGACAATTGCAATTCAAAAATTTATTGCTATTGTTTAAAGATCCTGCATTAGTAGGTAGTAACTAGTACTTAGAGGTTTACTAAACTTACACTGAAACATTATTTAAGGTCATTGACATTATACGCGAAAAACTCGAAAACTGCGAAACTGTGTTCGGGTCACTAGTCAAATAATAAATCTGTAACTGGGGCCAGTAAGTAGGTACCTAATTATCTAGATATTCGTATAAATAATAATATCTTAACTTTCGGTATTCTTAGGAACAGTAGAGAATGAAAAGTCGACATTCCTTTTGTTATCTAAGCACCCGTATGCTATGCAGTACCTTTTGACTTTTTGAGTAGCCATACTTGGATATAAACTCAAAAATAAATAGCAAAAGTGCCTAAATACTTGTAAGATAAAAATACTTGTTTGTTAACGTTAGGGTTGGATCAGCTCGAGCGCGCGAGTTACAACTTCACTGAATTAGCCTCTTGTAGTCGGCCGCGTAGCGTATACTTTCATGCCTAAAGCGCGGAGTGAGACAGGCATGGTTGCACTCCTATTCCGTCTAGATCTAGAGCATCTATAGCATTCTTAATTTGAAGTTGGGTGCAGGTGTTCATAAGCTGCAGTAGCCACTTATCAGGTGTACAGTTAGTTTTTTTGTCACTTTAAATAAAAAAGTGAAGTATATTGATTAAAACTACTTTTACGGATTTATCGCCGTATAACGTCGGGAATTAAAAATAATAGTAAAATAAACGCGATAAAATTCGTAAAAGTAGTTTTAATCAAAGTGTAGTGTTCGCGTAAATATAAGAAATCATTAAAGTGAAGTATAACCAACAATGCAAACAAACGTCACTGTGAGAGTGTGTGAGCGTCCGCAGTATGAGTGAGTGAGAGGAAACATATATATAGTTGTGTGACTCACAAAGAAGGGTCGCGGCGAGGCATGCGGCGCAGCGTGCGGCGCGGCGTGCGGCGCGGGCGGGGCGTGCGCGGCGTGGTGCGGCGCGGGCGGGTGCAGCTGCCACAGCGCCAGGTTACCGTCCGCGGCGGCCGCCGCGAACTTGTTGCCGTAGTCCGAGAAGCGCACGCGCGTCACCTTGGCGAAGGCGCCAGGCGCACGCGGCGACCACACGCACGACGGGTGCCCCCACTCCCACAGCTGCACCGACCCGTCCGCGCCGCCCGTCAGGTCTGCGTACCACGCATCAGCTCTCACGCTTGTCACAAAGTAGCTACGCGGAAACTACGGACTTCCATTTTTTACGGTTCCGCTCAGCAATGAGTAGCAGCGCTAAGGGGCGTGGGTTCAAATTCCGCAGGAAACAAGTATTTGTATGCTCTATAAATTATTATCCCGAATTTGGATTGTCCTTGTGAAATTTATTCAAAAATAAGGAAAACAGGATCCTATCTAACCTCCATAATATATCAAGTTATAAGTAAAATTTTCGGGACTGAGGGTTTGAATAGAGCATTAAACATATATTTGTGTGGCCTATAAATATTTGTTCCGGATTTGGATATTTGTCCGCGGGCAATTGTTTTTATTTAAAATATCACCGCAATAGAGGAAAAAATCTTAGTGTGGAATTAGCGATTTTTTTAATAAAATTATATTATATCTAAAATCTCCCACAAATGACGGATGCCTATGCCCATATTTAGGGCATATTATGGCTGTAACTGTACATTATTCAACTTTGATTATCTTACCAACGTTCAAATACCACAAATAAATAATACTACCAGCTGTTAAAGTAACGTGTACAAGAACTGGCAAGAAATTCTATGTTAATAATGAAAATATTTCGTTCTTCTGGCTGATATTGACCATGGCGACAACTTTCGTACACAATTGGCAAAATCAATTCTGCGGGATATTTTCTAGCATCACAGGTACGGGCTCTAACACTGAAGCACTAACTTGTCCTTATCTCTCCGTAGCTATTATGTTGCTTCTGAACTAAGATCAAAGGTGGACTAAAATGAATATCAGAATCATCGATACAATCTCAACCCAACCCAACCAGACCCGAAGATTAACAAACAGTTTTCTTTTTTAAATAAAGTTGTCCCTGTCTTTAAACCCGAAATATAGTAGGAAGGTAATCGTACCAAAAATCCACACCATCGTTAATACAAATAAAAATTAAAATATTCTAACTTACATAACGGTTGTGTAGGATGCGCTGCCATTCGTTTGATGTTGTCGATCTTATGTTTCAGAACCTGGATGTAAATATATAAAGCTTATTAAGTTAATCTCAAAAAAAAAATATAATAAAATAAAATCATAAATGTAATGATTTTATAAACAAAGTTTTAAACACTGACAACAAAAATGGCGGGAATTTATGTATTATGCCAACGACCAAACATGAAAAACTCAATAAAACGCGCAAGATAAAAACAACGAACTGCAGCTACGTAGAGATGAGACAAAATAAAACCAAACGAGACGAAAAAAAATGCACAACAAAAATACACCTATAACACAATGGACAATTTCATAATAACATAAGAGAAAAAAAAGTCGCTAGGAAGACTGACATAAAATCAAATAAAATTTGAGCGATATGGCTAGCGAGCCTTGCGAGTGCAATGGATTAGAGGAGTTAGGTGCTGAAGTTCAGGGGTTGGAATGGGGCGGTGTCACTGACCGGTTTCATGAGGAGTTTGGAGCGATGCAGCACCAGACGACAATATTTCGCGTCGTGGCAACCCGGAAACTGGAGGCCCTTCACCTGTGACCACCACTACGTTACGCGCGCACACACATACAGCAGTACAAAAATATCTTCCCTCATGTTATATAAGCTTATTTCCCATGAATGTTATTTTCAATATGAGTCCAGTGCAGAAAGAAGGGTATTATTATAATAGCAAACAATATTTGTTTATGTATTTTACACTATTAATTCTTGAGAATAACTTGAACAATTCTTTAAAAATTTATAGTAAATACATATTAGAAAAATTACATATAAAAAGTACCCCTAAATTTTCTTGTTACCATTTGTAAATTCGTCATTTCAGAAAAAATTTCTGATTATGATGGTCATTCTCATTAACTGTTCAAACAGTTCCGAGAGTAACAGTAAATTTATATAGGAAAAATAAAATTTGCGTTTTATTCGTAAGTCAATATAATATAAACGTATTTTTAACACAATATAGAAATGTTTACTTTTTTAAAACTTAATAAGCGAAACTCGGTTTGAATACTAATAAATTATACTAGAAGGGTAGGGTATAAATTTTATGTGAATTGTGGTAGTTCCTTTACTTTGTTGACCCTATAAAAGCATAATAAGGTGTCGGAATTATGCACAATAGACCAAAAATAATATTCACAGAAGCGCGAGCAAAGCGCCAGCGACACGCAACACGAGCACGCACTTACACAGTGCCGACACCAGTTGCCTGGACATTACTCTATGATTGAAAGATAAATATACAAGATTGCAGTTATAGTATGAGAATTCCAGTGGCACAGATGAAGTTATACGAGATTGTTGTGTAACTAACAAATACTTAGTAAGTAGTTTATAAGTATTACAAAAATATGTTTAAAATAATTGTATATAGTATAGGTAAAATTTGCAGTGTATAGAAACTTTAAACTAGAGAACGTAGTTGTTGATATAGAGCGTTGAAGTTGATGAGAACAGAGAAATATTTTTATAATCAACAGCAAAACTGTTCAACCATAATTTTATTATCATTGAACATATTTATTTATATATAAAAACCCCTCGATTTATAGAATTACAGAGATATTCAATGTAGCAGTTATGATTTACATAAACTGACAATAACCCAATTAGTAGTTTGTTTGAAATTAAAAATTTGGAGAAATAATTTGTAATTTAATGGTTCTCGTTAACTTTCGTTGCGCAGAAAAAAGAAAAAGCGTAAAATAGATTCAGTGATTTAGTAAGAGAGCCATTAGTTGGTTAGAGTTTACGTGTACGTACTGTAGTGGCGTACGCCTCGTGACCTGTTAGCTTTACGACACTTGCCCGGCGCTCCTGCTAAGAAGTTGGTCTCATATAATAATCTTGTTAAATCACTGTCCCAGTCCGAGAGACAAAAATCATTTTGAATCGACGCTTTATTAATTAATAATCGTTTCAATATTAATATTTGCAACCTTTAATAATGTTATGACAAACGTAAAGGCCATTGCTACTAAATTTATACTTTTGATTTTCAAATAGTTATTATAATAGTCAAAATGCAAACTGTCTAGAGATATGTATAGAACGGACTTTGGGACAACAGTGTCATTTTAAGCACTGATCAATAATTTGAAAATACTCCAATTAACAAATTAATTAAAAATTGTATTTAACATCACAGTTAAACTTTGGTAATGTCACATACAGTATTAACCTATAATAATAGTCAGTTATAAGTTAAATTTTATTAGAAATGTTAATTTGTTAGCACTAATATTACCAAGTAACAAAACAGTAATAGACATACATAATAGAAAATAGAAAAATTGTAAACTTACGACACTAGCGCCACGACCCGTTTGGCTCGCCATGCCGATCGGCACTTGTGGTGCGTTCGGGTTTAAAGGAGAGCTGTTACCCGTCCCTGGCACAGAACCGCTGTTTGGTCTGGAAATTAGAATTAACATTTCGTCTTCCTAGGTAACTTTTTATTTACGGATGAAAAACGAACATACTACCGTTGTTAAATTATATCAATGATCCATATAAAATTAATTCTCTGGGCCGATGCAGATGCAAAGGTAAAAACCTTTTGCTTTTCAACAAAATATTCAATCAAATGGCGCGAAATTGCGCAGATGTAAATTAGCGGATTGATGAGATAGTAAAAGAAAAAAAAATATAATTCAGATTTTTATTGTTTACCAACCTTGTCTGCGTTGAGCTACAAATATTGTCGAGAAAATTATGCAAATTGGCCTACGAGTTACGGAGGAGACAGATTTCAAAGAATCGTTTTCTTGCGCCATGGGAGCTTCGCTCCAATTAATAGCAATTGTATCCATTTATTGTAGAATTAAAACACTGTGACACTTGAATACCTGAGTAATAAAATATTCGTGGGCATATTCCAAGTGAGAGATAGTTTCGAAATCCGCGAAAGAGCATTGCAGAGAATTGTACTAGAAATGACAATATAGCGACAATTTCATTTTTTCAATGAGATCGTTTACGCCCAGCCAGTTTGAGATCGTCTGTGCAAATGTGGTAGTTTTATCATCAACACTTTCACATCTTTTGTCACTACATAATACTTCCACAACTACAAGGTATGTGTTTGAGAAAATTATACAATTAAAGGTTGTAATTTCGAAGGCTATCAGCAAGTTATCGTGTTAGACTTTTTCTGCTCCTGCCTACAATTCGATTCAAATAAGAATAGGAACGTCAATAACCTCTAATGACAGCGATCTGTCAACTGTCACTTGAAAAGTACCGCTTGCAAAGAAAATTATTTTGCGTATTATTTTTATTTAGTCTATAAGTTGTAGTTACTCGTAATTCAAGGTTCACAAACCGACTCGTCAGTGAAGTCACAAGGTTCCAACTGAAAACCAGCGCTGCCACTGCAGCATTATGCTGAGTTGGATACCTATTTGATGTCACATTTTATCTTAAAAATTTTTTTTTTAAATTTAATTTTAATTTTAACTTAATTTAATTTTTTTTGTGTCATTATTGAATAACATCATGCATGTTCTGCTTATTAAATAATTTTTAATGCGTATGCAGTCTTACACCTCTGCATACATATTCTTTGTCCATTGTAATTTATATTTAAATTTCAAAAATTGTGTGTAAAGTGTCATTATCAAATAAATAGTTCTTTCTTTCTTTCTTTCTATTAATAACGTTTTTCTCCAGCTTTATTTAACTGATTCTTAGTATTACCAAATATATTGAACTCATAATTATTTTTATAAATTAATTTATATATGATTTGCAATGACCTCAATATGTACTAGTCTCGTTCCACTATACAAAGTGACCGACGGTGAGACGTTTGTAGATAGTCCATCAACGCGCATTGAAGCTAGTGCGTGTGCGAGGCCGGCCCGCGGGCACTGACCTGTCGTGGTGCTGGATGAGCAGGAAGCCGGTGTCGGGCAGCGCGGCAGGGTCGGACGCGAGCGCCAGCAGGTCCACCTCGCACTCGTCCTCGGCCCAGCTGGCGCCGCCGCGCAACAGCAGCGACACGTCCATCTCCTGCACCTCGCGCGCCGTCGCCACCGCCAGCAGCCCGCCGCCCAGCTGCTCCACACACAAACAATTATATTACACACATTGTATGCTATACCCCAGGTGCTAGGGTTCATTTTTGCAAAGTCTGTCAGGACAATTATAACCCTTTTTATTACTACAATACCCACTCTGTTGTGTTCCGATTCCAAAGATGAGAGGACTGGTAAAATTATAGACTAGAAAGAATACCTTCATCCCTGAGAACCTAGACATAATAATGTCTAGCTTCTCGGGGCTGAAAACTCATCTGTGGCTTTTTTTTTTAAATTGTCATTTTATTTGAAAAATAATGGGCTGCGGTAGTTACATAAACATCATATTGACTGTAAATTCGCCACTTCATAAAAAAAATTGAGTACGTGTTTTCCCCGATCGAGGTTATTTGTGCCGCCACAATAATCCCTCCGAGCCGCAGAGAATCACCATCAACTCAAAATCACTTTCCATAACACTGTCTGCATTTTTAACAACGAAATATAATGAAGAAAAAAAAATGTATCAAAATTGCGATGATTTGAAAAGATGTGATAGCTAAATGGGAATATTTTATGCTATTATTTCATTATAATATGATAATAATGTCCTGTAGACCGAATTTCGCTCACAGCGACTAGTCTCAACGGAAACTATTAAATTTACGTGCCAAGGCAAGAGGGTGAAACACCGCCAACTTCCTAACTTCGGGCTGCTAAGGCTATATTACGTAACGAAATTTTTAACTCGCAATATATGCATGTATTGTTTATGTTGGGTTTACCCAAATAAAAAATAAAAAATACAGGACAAGAATATAGTGTGAAAAAGAAGTTTACTTTTGCGTTTCGCCTGGTGAGTGCAGATGGCCGAAGGGCTAATTCGCCCCACCCCCCTCCTCAACATGGCAGCGGAGTTAAGTAGAACTCTACCTCAAGAAGATACCGGCACCCATGGTGGTGGAGAAGACCTCTCTGTGAATCCACGCTCAAACTATCCTACTCTTCCTGAGCGTGGCTGCTCAGGCTGACAAAGGCAACCCCTGCCACGTTATCCGCAAAATTTGTGAAAATTAGGGGACTTTACACACCACTGTGGCCGAGGAAGGAAAAGGGGAGATCTCCCGTCGGGCAAGGTGTTCTGCCCGGGGAGCGGCCAAAACTCCGTGTGATAATTCGGAGATGCTCTATATATACTGTTTATGATTCGGAATGTTGATAGCGTGATTTAGGCTTCGGTGTATTTCGCTTGTAGTGCGACGACAGCGCGGCCACAGCTCCGTGACGAATCTGCTGTTTACACTGTGCTCGGTGCGCAAAGCCTTCCTCTCCTTGGACATCAGCAAGTTGAGTGGGCGTGATGGAGTTCCACCTATCAGACGTGTGTTCTGAAGTTGGCACCGGTTTTAACGCGTCTTTTGCGGTACTCCTACTCCCTAGTCGTCGACGTATAGTCCCGAACTCATGGAAAACGATCCCAATCCCTAAAAAAAAGAGCGACCGTTCAGATCCGTCTAACTACAGGCCTATCGCTATCACCTCCTTGTTCTCCAAAATAATGGAAACGATTATTACCTGCCAGCTCATAAGGTACCTTGAGTTAGCACTCACCAGCTGATTAGTGACCGCCAGTACGGTTTCCGTCGGGGCTGCTCAGTTGGCGATCTTCTGGGTTACCTAACTCATAGATGGGCAGGGGTAGTAGAATCCAAGTGGGAGGCGTTGGCCGTTAATTTGGACATAGCGAAGGCCTACGATCGGGTATGGCACAAAGCTCTTCCTTCGAACTGTCACTTACAATCAGGTGAGCCGCATGATCGTTTGCCCTCTCTCCTATAGAAAAATATTTATTGATATTGTAATTTAGTAAACAATCACTATATATATAAACAACATTATTGTAATAAACATTTACTAAAATTTATAATTCTACATTTTTCTCATGCAGAGTGCTGAAATGCCATTTTAGCTTTTTTGCATATAAGCTCTTAAAATAGAAAATAAAACATATTTATTTTTTACTTTGGCAATGCAATTAGAAACGGAAACCTAACTGAAATAAAACATTTTTTTATTGCATTTTTTCACAACAATTTTTTAATTCCCTAATTTTTATTTAAATTTATAAAAAACAATGTTATGTAACCCTTTGTTCCCTCTTCCGCCCCTGTAACAAATCGTAACGTTTTATAAGACCCCCCCTCCCCCCAAATTGCGTTACGTAATACTTGAACGCCTCGTAATATGAATTTCTTGACAGAAAAATCTGATAACCTATATTTAGCCCGACCCAAGATTCGAACCCAGAACCTCATGATCAACAACTGTATTTACTACCACTAGACCAAAGAGGCAGTCACAAACGCACTCATACTATGTTATAGAGTTATTATAAATGTGCGTGGTGCGTACCCTGTTGAGGCAGAATGCGGCGATAGAATCCTGCTCCTTGTGTATGATGCGCACGGGGCTGTGCAAGTCGTCGTCGTGGCGCGGCGGTTGCTGCGGGATGCAGCCGGCGCGCGCCTCGCCCGTGCCCTCCGCCCCGCCCGCAACCCCCGTACCCGCACCCGCACTGCCCCCGCCACTTGCGGACGTAGCGCGCCGCCGCGAGAACACTGCGCGAATGAATATTTCCTGCAAATTGAAAAACAATTATATGGTTTACCGTTACCATAACAGCCTATTAAAATCCACTGCTGAATAAAGGCCTCACTCATATATTGCCTTACAGGGGCGATATTTACCATTTTGATAAAGTGGTAAGTTTTATGTATTAAACGTTTGCGAATGTGAAATATTAGTGCAAAAAATAAAAATGTGCTCTTATAGTGATATACGCCTCAAGAGATTCTCTGCTTAAGCTTCTTGTGATAAATTTATGCGCTAATAGCCGCAAGTTCTAATCCCGCACGGAACAAGTATTTGTATGGCTTACAAATAGGTGTTCTGGGTCTGGATATTCGTCCTTGCGTTTATATATGTTTACAAGAGAAAATTTTAGTGTGGAGTTTTTTAAATAAAATAACGGGAAACATTTACATTATCATAAGAGACAATGTTCTTTTATCTAAAAAGCCTTTTTCACTTTCACTTCACCTTAGACAACCGTTCCGTAATTTAGCTTCTGTTATCTAAAATCTTTATCCGGCGTGATTTTAACATTTAGAAATGAATATATTTAAGTAGAATAGAACACAAATATTTTAATTAATTACTGTAATTTTTGTGTATTATTTTAGAGTGTGATTTTAATTTTTTAGACTATATGCATAGTTGTATTGACTAAAACTTCAAAAACAGATGAGAAGTGCAATTGTATACTCGTTGCTAATGGTGGTTAATATAGCGCATAGCGCCGCTATCTCTCCATAACACATAGCGCGTGCTATGTAAGTAGTCGCCATGGCGCTTTGGCGCTATTAAGTATTAATATCTAGCGGCAACTAGTTTTAGCAGCGGCGCTGTTGGGAGAGGACGTGTGACACAAATTTGATCTAGTAGCACGCTATTCGTCGCGCGCGACCTAATTTAGTGTTAGACATTGTTTACTTAGTGTATACTGTATAATAAGTGATCGAAGGACACAGTTGTCTGCTTTAAAAGAAGCCTAACTAATGTTTTTAAATGTAAATAAAATATAGATACAAAGTGTATATAATAGTGTATGTAAATAGTTGATTTTTATAAATACAATCAATAAACTTTTAAATACACAGTTATCTGATTTATAATTTATATTAAGGTTAAAATAACGTTTACTTCAATTATAATAAAAAATAATTTATTTTATAACGTTTTAAAGCCGTGGTAGCTCAGTGGTTAACGCTCGCTGTAAATATAACAGAACGCGAGTAACCCGGGTTCGATCCCCGCCGGCACCAATGAAATTGTTAATTGCAATTTTAAGTGCTGATTTACCACGTGCTCGGCGGTGAAGGAAAACATCGTGAGGAAACCTGCATGTCTGAGGAATAAGAAAAAAAATATTTCGAAGACATGTGAAGTTCGTCAACACGCATTTGGGCAGCGCGGCGGACACTTCCTCGCCCTAAACCCTCTCAGAAATGAGGGGAGGCCTGAGCCCAGCAGTGGGACGTATATAGGCTGTAACTTTAATTTATTTTACTTACGTTTTAAAAGGTACATGGCTTAAAAATATTTTTAGGATTATAGAAAGTCGTAAGCCTGAAAAGTATGAAAAAGCGTTTATTGGTTTTTCTTTACCGCTTTATTTTATTTTAGTCTAAAATGCGACTGTTTACGAAATAATGTTCTTATATAGCACGCGGTCTATCCAATGAACGACATGTAATGTAACGTGCTACGAGATATAGCGTGCTGCAAAACTTAACGCGCTTGCCGGCCTCCTACACGCTTTCTTATAAATAGCGCGCTATAACATAGCGTATTTAATAGCGCGCTAGAAATTTATAGTTTATAGTCTGTAGCGTGCTATTGATTTATAGTCGTTTTGAACAACTTTACTCGTTGCATTAGTCGTTCGGAACGTTAGTGTTCTCTGTCAATGTGTTTCCTGTGTCGAAACAGACACATTTGTGTTCTGGCCATAATCAAACTGCAACTTAACTACCTGCTACCTAGTAAAATGTGCTTATTTATTTTTGTTTATGTCAGTCAATTGACCTATCACAAAGATGTCAGATAAGCAAATTTGAACAATTCTTTCGAATATCTAATCTTTTTACGTGGTAGAGCCATGCTGCAGTTATATTAGTAGTATAGTTGTAGCACGAATGGGTCGGCTCGACCGGGGAAGGATCACGCTCTCACAGAATACCAGCGTCAAATAGTAGCTTGATGCTGCTGTGTTTCGTATGGTGAGTGTAGAGAACTTCTAGAAAGAGGACCACCTAAGTCCTCACAGATGACAACGCATCTGCATTCTGAATCGTAATCGAGGATAGATGTAGATGTCTACGTGCCATAGCAACCACTTACTATCAGGTGGACTGTGTGCTCGTTTGTCATCCTAGCCTATAAAAAAAAGAATATTATACACACATATTTTTTATTAATCTTACTTGAACTTGTTCCTGCCGAACTAAATAACTCCAAAGACGCCTTGCGGGAGCCGCACTGTACAACGCTGAACTGAAGGGAGTGTTGTGTTTTTCCAGTAAACATCTGTATTCAAAAAATTAATTAAATATACATAGTCGTAATGTCTTCTTAACAGTTGATCCTAATTATGATAATGGCCCCCAAGACAATGTTGAGAAGTGCGAAGTTATCAAAGTGTAGAACATACATGATAAAACCAAACCTAGCAATAGTATCATTAAATTTTAAATGTGTGAATTCGAGGCCAGATTTAGAAACCGACAATAGAAGTTTTTTTTTTTCAAATCCGCAATAAAAGACGTAGGCGATTTAAAAATAAGGACAGTGTTGAATTTTACGGGCCGGCCACCATCATAATGAATCACAGCCTGTCAAAGTCATAGATAAACAAAGACTTTCTTGTAGTTTGCACCGCTAGAAAGAACTTGATTCACGTTTGGTATTTAAAACGCATTTGACTGCTTTTTTGGGTATAGCGGTCGTAATTGCGGTTGTTGATTAATGGTTCTGGGTTCGAATCTCGGGTCGGACCAAAATCAGTTATTGGGTTTTTCTGTAAATAATTTGTTAATAACAGCCCGAAGTCAAGAAGTGAGCGGTGTTTCACCCCCGTGGCTCGAAATGTACGTAAATTCGTTTCGGATTGTCGTTCCATTGGATTACGAGAGTGAGTGGGCATAGAGAGTGTACCTGTGCTTGCGCATACACTTGGGCACTATAATCCTGTTCGCGCAAATGTCTAGTCTTCGTTGACACTGGCTGCCGTGATCGTAATTCGGTCTGTAGGACATTATTATTATAACACATATAGTGGTGGTTTTTGTAGAAGCGGTGTAAGAATATCCCCTGCCCTATATCATCCCTTGGGTGCGTAAGAGGGAACAGAGGGAAATTGAAACAGGTGATGAGCAGCAGCATCTTCCTGATAACAATTTAAAATAATTAAGAACTGTGGATCAATCCGTTCGCGAAACGTGTTAACTATGGCCGATTTCCCCTTGTGAGGCAGCCTATGGGGGAAAGGCCTATGTTAGTAGTAGACATATATAGGCTGTAATGAATGGATGGATGGATATAGTGGTGGTTTATGTGAGTTTGTGTGGTGGTGTGAGACACAAAGGTGATGGGGTTCGGGCGCCTGTACCTGTACTTGTTGATGGGCGGGCCGGGCGTCTGCTGGTCCGGGAAGCAGCCGGGGATGTAGTCGGGCGGCGGCGCGCGCGCCTGCAGCGCCTCGGCCAGCTGCTGCTGCCACTGCCCCACGCGCCGCAGCGCGCCGTGCACCATCGGGCTGCTCGTCGCCAGCTCTGCGCACCACACCCATTCCCACTTACTCACACTGCTATCGACAGCCAGCGTGCCCGTGCCTCTCGTAACAGTGCGGTGTACAGGACACTGCTTTGTGGCATTCCTTGAGGGAGGCCTATATTCAGCAATGGATTTGTGAAAGACTGTTAACTAGAACGCATTTGAGGGCCGACTCTAAGTAATAGGGTGAGAAATGAGTGAAAAGTGTGATAGTAAAAGTGTAGTTCACAAGAACATGTGATTAGGATTAAACAAAAGAATTTTTCTTCTTTTTTAAGCTTCGGTGCTTTGGACACATAAAAAGAAAAAAATTGAAAAATGCGACAATGCAAATTTTACTGCAGAAGTGAATAACAGACATTTGTCGACGACTTTGGTGATTTATTAAAGCCGGATTTAAGAGTACCCCTAACTGACGAGTATATACCTGGATGGTCTGAAAAGTTTCCAACCTGAACGTTAAGATGGCAGCACTCGTCAATAAAAGCTAGTGAATGTAATTGTGCATCTTTTGACAACTACGAATAAAAATTTCAGCCAATTTGTACGCGTATTTGTTATTTAACAGTCGTTTCAGTGAGTCGATGTATGTTTTTGTGAAAATGGAAAATATTTAGTATTTACCTGTCATTAAATTATTGTTTTTGAAAGGCAATACACCTACGAAAATCATAGATAAGTTGGACTCTGTGTATAGGGACTTTGCACCATCATTTATTTATCTCAGTGAAATTTTGGGCAGCTGAATTAATACGTGGGCGTGAAAGCTTGAGAGACGATGAACGTTCGTGACGTCCAAAAACTGCAACCACTGACGATAACATCGCTAAAGTTCACCAAATGGTGCTAGACGACCGTCGAATTAAAGTGAGAGAGACTATGAAAATATTCAAAGAACGTGTTTGTCAGATTAAATCAAGATTTAAGCATATGAAAGCTGTCAGCGCGTTGAGTGCGCGTTTGCTCACGTTATACCAAAAACAATAAATTTTTACCATCCGTCAAGTGTAATAGCCATCTAAAAGATGCAGGAGTGTACAAACTGAATTATGAACGTGGTCTCTTTAACACGGGACAAACACAAAGATCTATAAGAACCCGCGTCATGGAACATATAGCTGACGTGAATCACCGACACTCTGGGAAGTCTGCAGTCTGTGAATATGTTCAAGATCGTCTCCGCCATTACATTAGATTTTATAGACCACAAATCCTCGCAAAGGAACACCGATTCCTAGCAAGGATGATTCGCTAGGCTATTGAAATTAAAAAAATATCCTAATTTCAGTAGAGAAGATGGATGGGTGCTGCCAACTTTTTGGGCTCCTATAATTAATAAAATTAAATCCAAACTCAAACATACCACTGCAAGACTTCAAGGTACTGTAAGCTCATTTTGCGTAGATCGAACCAAAAAATTAATAATTATTCAAAAACTGATGGTAGCCTGGCTAACTATGACATCAGGATGACAAACACCTCAGTCCCCCCGTGACCATGGGTGCTGTAAAGCACCCGAAACGTCAGGAATTATAAAGTAAACATTAAACGTGATAAAATCTATATAATTAGTTTAATTTAAAACTGCGGTTGCCAATCCGCTTTACAAACGTGGCAAGTATGGCAAATATACCCCCATATATGAGCCATGTTCAGCCGTGGACTTTAATAAGCTGTAACTATAACGGATATAATTGGTTAGTGTAATAAAGATGGTATTGAGCATATATTTAAAAAGTTCATTTACTCCTTTGTTCATATAAACATTAGCCAGTAATAAGTCTCTCCTAATATTATGTAAAATTTGCTGATATTGCTACACTTAAAAGGATCCAACTTATAAAAACGATCGAAGAACCAAACCTTTCGCGCTCTTGTCAAATGGTAAAAAAATGAAGAAAATTTGGTATTTATCTATTCTTTCGACTTCAAATTTTTCCTGTCTCTAATTAGCCGATACAACATTATGGAGACACACACTTAACCTGCCGTATACATTCACACAACTTTTCTACAAATAGTTACCCGACATCTCGATGCCGCACAACTGCAGGAACTGTTGCAATTTGTGTTGTGCAATTTTCAGTATAGCCACTCGCATCACGTACCACGAATACGAATCGGGATTAGAATGTTCCGTGTTGGCACCTTTACGTCGTTTTTCGGGTCTAAAAATATATATTATTATTTTAATTAAAAAAAGAAAAAATCATCGACAAAATTACATGAAACTTCCTACACTGTCAAGTACTACTGTTGTTAAAATTTTTCATAATATTTAATATGATACGAGATTTATAATAATTTTGAAAATAGTAAAATATTACACTACTTGCACAACATACATTCTAATACTGGACACAAGCATATTCTTATTTCTGTGGACGTTTTAGACCTGATAAAGGTCCGCCGCACTACCGACACAGTTTTCAGACCTTACAGTTTCGTCGCCTTTGATGTCAGGCGATGCCGCCGCCCGCGTAGGTATTTACGCGGCAGCATGTATAATAAAGTGATTTTGGATACTATAATTCATTATCATTTATTAACATTATGTACGTACTTTTAAGTTAAAAACGTTTATTCAACAAGGTCATTTTTATTACTCCAAAAAAAACACAATTACAAATATTGCACTGCCAAATATTTTCGTGAAACTTTCTTTTTATAGATGTTTTTAGTTTACGATTGTTAAATTTAACTATGTAATGTATTCGCATTCGGATAAACAAATTTATCAACAAAAAATGAGGGGAAACATAAGCATGGCCGTCAATTGAATTCAACTTCACTTAGTAACTCATATAACTATAATAGTATGTCGCCATCCTAGAATCTAGATATAATATTTTTTAGAAGTGGCACTTAAAATTAGTTAAACAAGTACTACAAAACACGCTCTATTGTCCATCAGACTCACAGTTCTGTCACAGACAGAAGTGCGATAGCACAAGGTGGTCCTGCCCCCTGCCTCGCAAGGCTCGCATCGTTGCTCTGCGCAAGTACATTCGTTTCCCAACTGTAAGGTCTTCAAACTGCGCTACCGTAGTACTTGTTGGCAAGTTTATCTGTTCTCGAATGTTAATTTTCAGACAGGTTTCCTCAAGATTTCACCAGCAATGACGTGTCAAATTAACATTTAAAATTGCGATTTATCATTTTAGTAAAACCGACGGGGATCCAACTCTCGTTGTTCGAGTATGGTTGTTTAAGAAGAGCGCCTAATTCCTAAGCTATCAATGTCCTTGTTTTTATTAGATAACGTAACATGTTGAATTACTTATTGGTGTTGGTATCGAAGATGTCGTCATCTTCGCCCTCGCTACTGCTTTCCTCGGCGTCATCACAGCCTGACTCTGCAGAGTCATAGTCGTTGTTCTCAGGGTCATGGTCATGCTCAGTGGTTGGCTGGAAATAAAACATACTATTTATTATAATGTTGCGCGAATAAGTCGACGTCATGTATCCGGCACTAGCGCCGTCTAGTGTCAAGGACGAGAGCGAGGGGAGCTTTCCAGAAAATGACATCACTAATCTTTCAACCGACAGCGCCATCTAGTCTCGGAACGAAGAACTAAGCTTCTAGAGTCGATACTCGAACTCTCGGCCCCTTGCGCGTGTTTACTTGAATATTCTGGATTTTTCGGTAGAAAAGGTCTATTTAAAGACGTTGAGGGCCGTGACCGGGGCAGTATTAAATTGGCGATACGAGCGAAGCTTTCGGAGTGAAATAAAGTGAACTAAAGTGTTAAGTGTGAATAATTATTAGTGTGATTTAAGTTTTAATTGGCGTTCTCTAATAAAAGTGTAAATTTTGTTAATTCAATCGGCAGTTTTTAGTGTCACGAACCCTAAGCTCGTAACAATTGGTGTTACGAGCTTAGGGTTCGTGCGTTCGTAAGTGGGATAAAATCATGCCGATTTTACCTAAGGAGGAAACGGAGGGTGTCCGTACCCGATGTCAACGCCAGCAGGAGAGGGACCAAAGAAGATTTGGTGGTGCAACGCCGCAGACGTCGGAGGGCCAGCCACCGGCTGCGGCCCCGTCAGTAGCTCCTACATCTGCAGCACCTGACTTAGGTGCTCTGATGGTGATATTGCAGGAGCAGGCTCACCGACAAGAGGAGCAGGACCGTTGGTTGAAAGAGCAGCAGGAGGAACAGGCTCGCCGACAGGAGGAAGAGGCCCGCCGACAGGAAGAGCAGATGCTCCTCGTGAAGGACATTCACGCTAACTTCGGGAAAGAGATAAGGGAGGTGAAGGACAGGGTTGCTCAACATGACAACCGCCTGTCGGAAACTGACACCCAAATCAAGGAAGCTAAAACCCAAATCGACCAAGTAAACAATCGGGTTGATTACGTGATGGCTGACGTGAAGAAAACGCTGGAAAATTAGGAGACGGACCCGTAGTAGATGCAACACCTGCGCTACGTGGCTTCAAGGTGCCACCGTTCAACGGAACTTCTTCCTGGTCAGCCTACAAAATCCAGTTCGAGGCTGTTTTGAAGGCGAACGGCTGGAATAAAAGTCAGGCCATGACTGCTCTCACACTAGGCCTGCGCGACCAGGCCTTAACAGTTCTGGAAGCTCTCGGTGAGGAAGTGACTTATGAGCAACTCCTTGAGGCATTGGAGGCGAGATATGGCGACGCTCACCTGGAACACGTCTTTTGTGCGCAGCTTAAAGATCGCGTGCAGCGCATCAACGAAAACCTGTAGCAGTGGGCTCTAGAGGTGGAGAAGCTGGTGCGAAAAGCATACCGGTCTGTACCTGCGCTCATTGAAGGGAATCTGGTGCAGACATTCATCGACGGCATCCGCGACCTGGAAGTCAGAGCGGCTGTAAGGCTCGGGCACCACGAGACGCTTAAGGACGCCTTGGCCCATGCACTGGAGGTGGAAGCCGTGCGGCAGGATCATCGTTCCCATCGCATCAGGGAGGTTGCAGCAGCTACAGTTCGCAACCGCAACAAAGGATACAGCCCTAGGTGCTATGGCTGTGGGGAAAAAGGCCATCTTCGATCCAGCTGCCCTAAGCAAACCCTAGAAAGGGAAGGTGATCGATCTTAGGAGGGTAGTGCGGCCAACAGCACCGCCCAGCAGCAGCAGGGAAACGAGTAAAAGCCAGAACTGGGGGGCGGGTGCTGGCTGATGTTAAAAAAGCCCCAAGGATCTCGATCTCACAAACCCATGATGGGAACAGTCTAATCATCAAGGGCGAGGTCAACGAAATGCCGTGTAAACTGACCATAGACACTGGAGCCTCTCGTACGGTTGTTAGTTCCCAACTTATAAGTCAGTTCCTTGGGGACTCCGCATACAACCGAGAACGCATTAATTTGGTAACAGCCACCGCTCAGCGTATACCCGTCCGTGGAGAGAAGGAGATGGAGTTCAAGCTAGGCAACGTGATCTACCTGCATAATGTCATCGTGGCTGATATAATGGACGACTGCATCCTGGGCCTAGACTTTATGAGAAATAATTGTTGTGAGATCGACGTTAAGCAAGGTGTTTTGAAATGTGGACAGGAGGAACTTTTTATGGAAGGTGCATTACCAGGGAACGTGTACAGCATAAAGAAGATTGTTCTTCCGCCGAGATCGGAAACGATTGACGGAAACCGGTTAGTCTTCCTGGAAACGCTGGGCAAGCTCACCGTTGTGTACTTGTGGAAAGGGTAAACAATGACCTTCCACGGAAAGTAGCTCGAACCTTGGTCAGGACCACTGACATCTCAGGAGTACGTGTGCTGAACCTTTGTGACCGGGAACAGATTATATAAAAAGGTACACTGGTTGGTACTTTTGAGGAAGAGGTTTGGTTACGTCGATGCCAATATATATCGAGTGGGACCCTCAGCAACGATTCAGAAACGAGAGTGACCACACTTTTGGAAGACTGTCGTAGTGTTATCTCCCCGAACTAATTGGTCAAGGCGAAGAAGTTGTTACTCAAGTACTCCGATGTATTCTCATCAAACGATGCTGACATAGGAAAGACTGGCTTAGTTCAACACAAAATAAACACAGGAGAAGAATTGCCTATCCGTCAGCGGCCAAGAAGATTGCCGGTAGCACGTGAAAAGGAAGTGGAAACCATGATTGAGGGAATGGTGAAGGATGGTGTTATTGAACCTTCATCTAGTCCATGGTGTTCACCCGTGGTGCTCGTAAAGAAGAAGGATGGCAGCATGCGGTTTTGTGTTGACTACCGCCGTCTGAACGACGTTACAAAGGACAGCTATCCCTTGCCAAGAATTGATGACCCTAAGGGCAAGGAGAAAACTGCGTTCTCGACGAGAAAGGGTCTGTGGCAATTTAAAGTAATGCCGTTTGGATTGTGCAATGCTCTAGCAACGTTTGAAAGGCTGATGGAGCTCGTACTTATCGGGCTAATTGGCGATGCCTGTCTGGTCTACTTGGATGACATCATCATCGTGGGCCGTACGTTTGAGGAACACCTTCAAAACCTGGAACGCGTGCTCATGAAGATTCAGAGTGCCAACCTCAAGTTGAGTCTGAAGAAATGTTCACTATTCAAACGGCAAGTCAAGTTTTTGGGGTACGTAGTATCGGAAGAAGGTATCCGCACGGATCCGGAGAAAATCGCCGCTGTCAAGGATTGGCCGGTTCCAAAAGACAAGACGCAGGCTAGAGCATTTTTGGGTTTGTGCTCCTATTATCGGCGATTTGTGAAGAACTTTGCAGATATAGCCAAACCTCTGCACAAGCTAACCGAGGAGAAGCGACATTTCTGCTGGGATGAAAGTTGCAATATCGCATTCCAGTAGCTCAAGGACCGTCTGTGCAAAACACCTATTTTGGGATACCCTGATGCAAGCAAAGAATTTATAGTTGATACGGACGCAAGTGATATGGGACTTGGCGGTGTGTTTTCTCAACGGAATGGTGACCAAGAGGTCGTGGTAGCGTACTTCAGCAAGACGTAGTCAAAACCGGAAAGGAACTATTGTGTCACAAGACGCGAATTGCTAGCTGTGGTAAAGTCGTTGCAGCATTTTAGCAAATATCTTCTGGGGCGGAAATATCACTTACGAACTGATCATGCTGCACTAAAATGGCTATTACAGTTTAAAAATCCAGAAGGACAAGTTGCGAGGTAGATTGAACTACTGCAGGAATACGACTTTGAGATCGAACATCGCAGCGGGAAATCACATGGCAACGCAGATGCGACAATGCATCTGCGTTGCAGAATAGTAGAAGATCTTGTCCTGAAGATTGCAAACATTGTACTAGGCAAGAGAGTAAGGAAGTGGTATCCGTGAGGATGCTCAGGACAGACCACCTCAGCAACGAGTGGAAGGACAGCTTACGACATGCACAGCAGGAAGATCCGGACATCAAGCCGATTCTGCAATGGATGAAGGCCAGTGCTCCCAAGCCCAAGTGGAGCGACGTCTCAGCGATGAGTTCGACCACTAAAAGCTATTGGGCCCAGTGGGAAAGCTTGCTGCTTCAGGATGGAGTTCTGTGCCGTAAATGGGAAAATGTTCGGGGAGACAACTCTCATTTGCAAATGGTCGTCCCTAAAGCTAGAGTACCGGATGTTCTACAGCTGTACCATAATGATTGTTCAGGAGGCCATCTGGGATTTAAACGGACTCTACTGAAGATCCGAGAACGGTTTTACTGGGTCCACTGCCGAAACGATGTCGAGGACTGGTGTCGCAAATGTACAAGTTGTGCGGCTGTAAAGGGACCTCACACTCGTAGTAGAGGTGCATTGAAGTTGTACAGTGTTGGTGCACCATGGGAGAGAATAGCCATTGACGTGGCGGGGCCGTTTCCGGAGAGTGAAAGCGGTAACAAGTATTTCATGGTTGTGATGGATTACTTCACTAAGTGGCCAGAAGTCTTCGCCATTCCAAATCAAGAAGCTTCAACAGTTGCGGATAAGCTAGTTCATAAAGTCTTCTGTCGTTTTGGAGTACCTTTAGAGATTCACAGCGATTAAGGAAGGAATTTTGAGTCTCAAATATTCCAGGAAACTTGCCGAGTTATGGGTACTCATAAAACAAGAACGACTTCTTATCACCCGCAATCTGATGGAATGGTAGAACGATTTAATCAGACATTGGAGAGGTACCTAGCAAAAGTTGTAGACAATCGGCAACGAGATTGGGACAAGCACATACAACCGTTTTTGTTGTCATATCGAAGCGCTGTTCACGAAAGTACAGCAGTGACACCAGCTTTCGCAAACTTTGGAAGAGAATTACGGCTGCCTGCAGACCTGATCACAGAGATACCACCTGATGCTCCACGCAGTATAACCGATTATGCAAATGACTTGCGGAACAAAATGAATGACATTTATGAGCACGTCAGACAATCGGGCCAGCAAATGTCTGAGAACATGAAAACCCGGTACGACCACAAAATGAACAATAAAGGCTTCGACGAAGGTTCACTAGTGTGGTTGCACAATCCAGTCCGCAGCAAAGGGAAATCTCCTAAGCTTCAAGCTAAATGGGACGGCCCGTACCGGATTGTAACCAGGATCAACGGTGTAACCTACCGGATACAGAAAGGCGCGAGAGGGACTCCTAAAATCGTCCATGTGGATCGCTTGGCGCGTTATTATGGGGCCAATAATGCTCGGGACGAGCATGTCTTAGGAGGGGGCAGTGTTGCGCGAATAAGTCGACGTCATGTATCCGGCACTAGCGCCATCTAGTGTCAGGGACGAGAGCGAGGGGAGCTTTCCAGAAAATGACATCCCTAATCTTTCAACCGACAGCGCCATCTAGTCTCGGAACGAAGAACTAAGCTTCTAGAAGTCGACACTCGAACTCTCGGCCCCTTGCGCGTGTTTACTTGAATATTCTGGATTTTTCGGTAGAAAAGGTCTATTTAAAGACGTTGAGGGCCGTGACCGGGGCAGTATTAAATTGGCGATACGAGCGAAGCTTTCGGAGTGAAATAAAGTGTTAAAGTGTGAATAATTTAAGTTTTAATTGGTGTTCTCTAATAAAAGTGTAAATTTTGGTAATTCAATCGGCAGTTTTTAGTGTCACGAACCCTAAGCTCGTAACAATAATTCAAAATTAAAACTTTTTTATTTTTTATAAAATATCAGTGCCCTAGGCTTCTACTCCGTTCACAAGTTACACGTTTTTTTATCCAGACGTTAAAAAAGCTCATCCAGTATTGTTACTTGTACACTTAGGAACTTCTTGCAAAGGAAAGTTTTGTTTTGGAAATTTGTTTGTTCTTACAATATAAGGATCAATGTTTTCAGTTAAACTAACAATTGTCAGCATAATAGTTCAAGCAAGGCACGATCTTATTTTTATTGCCATAAAGTGATTTTTTATAGGTTAAGATGACAAACGAGCACACAGTCCACCTGATGGTAAGTGGTTGCTGCGGCCCATAGACATCTACATATAGCCTTAATTACAAAACAAAATGCAGATGCGTTGTCACCCGTGAGGACTAAGATGGAATGCCTCGTTTCCAGTAAAAAGGGTCTCCGGTTCTCTACAGTCACCATACGAAACACAGCAGCATTAAGCTACTATTTGACGCTGGTATTCTGTGAGAGTGTGGTCCTTCCCCGGTCGAGCCAACCCATTCGTGCTACAACTATACTACTAATATAACTGCAGCATGGCTCTACCACGTAAAAAATCGTGTTATACGCGTAACAACTACTACTTTGAAAACGGATTAGGCAACATCTGTAAGTTCAAGGTGATTCTTTGAATAAATGTAAGTATTTTATTGAGGTTTTTATAACACTTGTTAAACTAATGTCTTGCTTTTGTGGTAATATGGTGCAGTAAAGTTACAGCCGATATACGTTCCACTGCTGGGCACAGGCCCTACTCTAATTTCTGAGAGGACACCATGAAATGTAAATTACTGTTTAGAGAACTATATTATTCTTCAAATACCTTTGTGAGCAAGAACGTCAATATACTGCACTGCGGTGGCACGAACTGCTCCCTGTATGTAGGTCGGCCTTCTTGTATGTTCTTATGCGGCGCCGTGGGCCCCATACCGAGTAGACGCATGTGTAAAAGTGCCCGCTTTTCTCGAAGGGACGACCACACCGACGTTCCTTCAGGGCGTTCCACTAATTTCGGCTAGGAATAAAATTCATTTCAAAATCGTCATGATTTCAGGATACGTTAATAGTGCATTGTATTAAGTTTAACTAGGAATCGCTTAAATAGTAGAAAGGTAAAATAATATTCACAGTATAGATAAATGTTTTAAATTTTGGATTTCTCTATTTGGTGTACATAAAATACGCGGATTCACATTTAGGCCTTACGAACATATGAATACCTACAGTAAAAAATAATATATATGATCTATATAGTTAAAAATCAAAATTATATAAATAGCAGATGACTAAAAACATGTACATTCTCCTCGTGTTGATCGGTTATCTCTATCAAAAAGTTTTAAATTTTTATATAATTTTCGTCAGTGTAAAATAGCACCTTGATGCTGCCTTTTTGTATGATGAACCGGGGACCCTTTGAGCTGAAAACAAGTCATTCCATCATTCATTTATTAAGTAATTTTTCAAATCGAGGATAGATGTAGACGTCTGTGGGTCACATCACCCACTTACCATTAGGTGAATTATGTGCCCGTTTGTCATTATTATTTTTGTGTATTACGTTACTTTAGACGTCTGCCTGGCTTACCGATTACTATACTGTTTTTACTCATTAATAAGGTTTAATTGAAACAAGAATTTTATTTAGTTCTTTGAGCACTATTAACTTGTAGGATATCGTAGTAAAGTACAATTACTCTAATTAAGTCTTCACAATTGACAATGCATCTGTGGACTTCTTTGTTTGAAGTTGACGGCAGGTGTCCTCGAGCTACGTATCATTGTGAACCGTCAGTGTGTTGTGTCATTTCAGTTTTATATAAAAATTTATATAAAAACTTGTTTACTGTCGCATTGTTAATAATTATTAATAAAACAAAAAAGGAAAATCATATTATTAATAAAAGAGAAAATGTTAATAAATCCTTGATCTGCTTTAGGGTCCGTGTGGGGTAGGTTACGGTAGTTTACACTCTCTTACCTATTTCTGCAGGCAAGTGCCAGTGCCCGTCAGCTGTATTCCAGTTCGAAGGGTACAGAGAGCCAGTATTACTATAGGATGCGACTTAACTTACTCTTCGCAGGTGACAAAGCATCATCTAGCCTTTTCAATTGAAGTTGGCCGCTGGTGTCAATGGGCTGCAGAGGCTACTTACCATCAGATGAATATTTATCTTCTATCACTTAATATAATATCTTTAAAAAGTTCACTACTGAATATAGACCTCCTCTCATATTGCCTCATATACTTACTATAGTTGTCACGTTTGGTAGTCGTTTTTTTTTTTCTAATTGTTATCAGGAAGATGCCTTTCCTTTATTAATAATGGCCATCTTTTACTACAGTTTCCCTCTGTCGCTTCTTGCAACACGTATGGTATGCGGAATGAAGCAGTGAATATTCTTATGGCTTTACCACACTATGCTCCTAGCACTACTCCTCGCGATGCCGTGTGCCGAATGCCGCGATGTTGTTCTCTGCCCACACATTGCTTTACGCAATGGATGTTACAACTGTAGCAGCGTACGTGCAAAATACACATTTAGTATAGCTAATTATATCAATATCATAAAAAGAAATATACGTCGTCGTTCTCGCCAACGGAGATAGTATGTGACATCTATTCATCGTAATAGAATGATATTTCCATTACGAGCGCTCGAAACGGACTGCGTTCGCGCTCATATTGCAATCCTTGGATTCGCGCCCAATAAACCGACAAAACAGGGAGTGATGGGCATGAACGAGAGCACGGTGTGCGACATGACGAGTATTGTTGCCACACTACGTCTATGCCTCCTTTCGTCGCTACTTCCAGTGTGCGCACTTCTAGTTTCAAGCTTACTTCCAGAGTACGGCGCACTGTACCTGCGGGGGCGCGGGCGCGGTGGTGAGCAGGCGCCGCACGCCGCCGCCGAACAGTCGTGCGTGTGCGCGCGCGTCGAGTGTGTGCGCGGCGAGGCGGTACAGCAGGTGGGGGTCGCGCGCCGCCAGCGCCCAGCCCAGCAGCGCCAGGTACACGGCGCACAGCGCCTCCGCCAGCAGCACGGCCAGCCGCGGCGAGTCCTCCTCCTCGGCTGCTCGCAGTGCCAGCCCGCGCAGCGCCGACACGCCTGCACCACACCATCGCACGCCTCACTCATATAATCAGCTCTTAACCGCCAACCACTTCCATGTACACGACTAGACGACCTCTGCGCTCTTAAAACATTGCGCACTTTACGCTCAATTCTACATTTACAGCATACAGCACGCACGATTCACAGAAGTATTTGCCGATTTATTATGAATCATACCTAGCTTTAGCGTTTTTATCTAGCGTTTTTACTGGCCAACACGACAACGATATAACGTCGCCGGCAGTTATCAAGTGGGACATTTCAGTACTACGTCCATTCCCTACAGAATCATTCTGATAAAATCATGGTGTATGACATAAATATGCACAAATACAAGTGTGTATAACCTGCTTAACATTTTGTCTATATGTATGGTTCCACGACACATTTTTTACTTAGTAAACGCTGCAACCTACTTTTAGCCGCGCGTCGCGTGTTTATGATGGAATTTAATTTTACTTATTTAATTGCAATCTTAAACACCACCAACCGTCCTTTTAAACACCAACTACTCAAGGAAAGATTTGCCACAGTAACATTATTACTATTTTACTCATTATTAAACCTTTGAACTTTGGTGATCTTTTCCTTTTGACATGCTCAACAACTAACTACAACTCTACTTCTTTAAATTGTATAGCCTTACAAACCATACACTACAAAAGCCAGCAATGTGCATGCATTTGCTTATATCTAAACCAAATAATATATTATGTTGTTTAATTATAATTAACTAATATATAATTAATCTACGTTACATGTTTACATATAATTAATACACAAACAACAAGAATTATCTTTAAAAAAATTTAAACTTTCCTAACTTGTCATAACTAGTTGAATGAAAATGCTTCTAGATAATAATAGTGTTGGTACTCAGTACTTTGCTGACGATGTGTAATTATCATTATCTGCCACTAAAAAAACGCTTTTACTCTTAAATATGAAAACATTTAGGAACATCGATACGTAGCAGGATCATACTTCACCAGGGTCTTAAAAATCATGGCTTAACATACATTTTACGTAACCTTGTTTAATTTTATGTAAACTTATCAATACACGTCAGTATCATCATCACAAACAGAAAAACAGCTACAACATCCAGTGAACAAGACTGGACACTTTTATGCTTGCAATCACGAAGCGTAATAATATTTTTTTTAATTTTCTATGATATTTTATATTTAGTAACACAAGTTACAACTTAATTTATAAATCTAATAAAATATTAACCACTCTGTTCATAAACATTTTTAAACACTTCAATTAGTTAAACAGTGTTTGTCACTTTCTAGCAACAAGTGTCTCGCTAATGTCAAAATGAGACAAAACATTATTTAACTAATCAAGAAGCGTTTAAATTTTTTTATGAATAAGGGACTTATATATCTTTGGCTCCTCCCATCGCTTTCCTTTTCCTATGTACGCGTTGCCGTCAAGATTACCGAGCCCATCGGTCAGAAGTAACTCTACAATTGCCGCGACCGCTAGAGGCTAATTCGCCCTATGCGACCGCACAGACATTGAATCATATACATCGTAAATCAACCGCGAACCGTATGGATAGCAAATGAGACCTCCTATATGTATTTAATAACCGCGCCGGACATTGCGTCTGTATGTAATTTATAAAAGTGTGAAGCGCCTTTCTCGCGAGTGCAATGGTCGAGAGTGGGTCGCCGACCCACGCGGTGCACCTGCTCTAAAATCTGATCCACCAGAAAAGGCGAGGTCTCACCAGGTCAGTGCGTGTCTTCTACCTACTTCTTTATTTTCTATATACAGTCCATAAAACACCGAAGAAACCCCTCGATTTCCCAGCCGATGCACCACATTTTGTTTGACCATGTGTATGACAGATTTATCTATGTAAATGTATGTAACTTGGTTGACCGAGTTTTGCTCGGTATTTATTTTTAATTCGTGTGTTTTGGAAATTATATTTAGATACAAATTACATACCGATGAAAGACGAATAATATTTTTTGATCTTTGCGACATAATAGAAAAAACTGAACTGGTTATTCGAATAAAAAATCATGAGTGCAATTAGTTTTATTTAAATTTTCGTTTTTTAAAAAAATACTAAAAAAAGGGCTCGAAATAAAAAATTTTCTCAAAAAAAAGGGAACTTGAATAAAAATGAGAAAAAGTCGGTCGGTCGGTCTGGACTCGAACCAGGGTACCAAGATATTGTGACCGCCCGTTATCTCAATTTCGCTATTTATAATCATTAATACATTGCCAAAATTTACTTTCTTATTCTAACGATATTGTAGCAGTTTTTCATTGCCTAAAAAACGGATAAAACGACATTTTCTAAAAATGAGGTACGTATGGAAGTTGAAGCAAAGAAGAGAGCATGGCTAGATTTACTAGCGGTCAAAGCTGGTAATTCTGGCGGTAAGAATGATGAGATTGAAAGAAAAAAGGCAGAATTTAAACGTCTAAATAAGAGAGTAAAAGAATTAGGTAGTTGAAAGGAAAAAGCAAGAAAGAACGTATAAGAATGATGATGAATATCGGATGTTATATATATATATATATATATATATTTAACAGAATGGGTCCCACATATATGCAATAAATGAAACCACAAGTAATACTAGTCCGTAGAAGTGTATAAAAATTAAATATTAAATTAAAACCCGTAAAATAAAAATGTGAAATTTTCAAACAAAATAAATATTAAAATAAATTCAGTAAAAGTGAACACTCTGTTTAGACAACGTACCTTGACCCCTTGGAAGAGTGACAACGTTGCACGGGTGGCACGCCGACAAAAGACACCGCTGTCGATATGTCGCAATACCAATAATTTGCACTAAGTGGCAACGTCGCTTTTTAATGTTCAAGGATTCAAGTTCATTGAATCATTGACTTAGTGTACCAATTCTATAGTGTTCAAATTTGCTTAAAATTAAAACTCTACTTTTTGACCTAATTACTGGACCGATTACGTTCATTTTTTGTATATCGTCAGCAAAGGCAATAACAAGTATATGGTTTCATTTATTGCATATATGTGGGACCCATTCTGTATATATATATAAGAATTGCTCGTTTAAAGTTATAGAAATGTAAATATCCAGAGCATCGACTGTTGTGCGATTATGCCGAATCATTCCAAGAACGAAATTGTGAATGTCCAGCAGAGGACCGGTACAAGCTAATTAAAAAATAATGCATTGCGTTGTATGTCAAGTATGAAATATGTAAACATACCAGGCCACTTATTCGGTGGCGTTGTCACAGATAGCTCTTCAACAGAATATCGTCTGGGCCGTACAAGTAGATTTGTAGTGCTTGGTGTTTCTGCTACGAGGGCGGCACTGAAAATTTCGGGAAACCGTTAAGTGACACAACATTACTATTTAAAAATTTATTTATTGCTTTTCCATACGATGGAACCAACAATCATTGAAGCAACCATTCCATTCGGAAGTTGGGCTCTCCAAAATGGCCGTTTTGTAGGCGTCCACAGCTTCTTCAGGTGATGAAAATCTCTGTCCACGCAATTTATTCTTTATTTTAGGGAAAGTATAGAAATCATTAGGGCTTGGGTCGGGGCTGTACGGCGGATGGTCTAATAATTCTATGTTTTCTTGCTCTAAAAACTCTTTTTGTTCAGTGTGCGGTGTGAGAACTCGCATTGTCGTGATGGAGGATGATGCGGCGGTTGCAGTTCTCTTTACGGAGTTCAGAAACGACCTGTGGCATACAAATGCTAGCATACCATTCTGCATTAACCGTTCTTTGTCCTTCAAGAGGAATAGTCGTAACATGGCCGGTTTTGGAGACAAACGTGGCCACCATTTTTTTGCAACACTCCGTGAACGAACAATTTTTGTTGGCTTTACTCATTTTCGAACACCCAAACTCGTGACTGGCTTTTTGTTTCGGGTTCGTACGCGTATATCCAGAATTCGTCACCTGATACGATGTTGTATACAGCATTTGAGGATCCTGCGTAGAATCTTTCGAGAGTTCTGACGCACCAAGTAATGCGAGCCGCTTTTTGCTCTTCACAGAGCGAATGCGGTATCCATAGGGAAAACAACTTTTTTACACCTAATTGTTCATGCAAGATTATTTGTATTTGACTCATGCCAATGTCTAAAGTTGCCTGAATTTCGCGGTATGTCACATGTCGATCTTCCTCAATCAGCTTACGCACAGCATCAACGTTTTCTTGGGTGACTGCAGTTTTTGGACGACCTTGACGGGGATCATCACTGAGCTTGACACGTCCACGTTGAAATTCAGCAAACTAGCGATAAATTGTGGTTTTGGATGGGGCTTCATCACCAAATGCAGAAATCATCCGGCCAACACACTTTTTTTGTGTTAAACCACTTCGAAAGTCATAATAAATCATCGCTCTTGAATTTTCTCGAGTCAATTCCATTTACTCAATGACTAAACAAGTTTGACAAAACCTTGTGACAAGACCGAGAATCTTTTTTTTAAATAAATAAATAGTATTCGATTTTTAAAACCAAGGAGTTTTCAATTAAAAAGATTTTAATATGACAGGAACAGTGGAAATATTCCATTCCCGATACTTTTAGTGCAGCCTAGGTATAACACTGTGAAAAAATTTAAAAACAAATACGTTATTTATTTTTAATCTATTTATTTATATTTATAGAACGTTATTAATAAACGATGTAGTGGCCGTGTGACAATAACCACTACCCCCATATCGCCACTTGGCTGTCGAAAGAGACGACACAGGAAAACTGAAAAGGAAGAGCAGCGGCTTCTTCGTGACAACAACTCATAATAATAAAAAATTAAGGACAAATCCCCCCTTGGAGGCAATCCCCGTAGAAGGTTTACACCAGCTGAGGACTTTCATAGGCTGTAATGGATGCAATGTATAATAGACGTTATTTATCACTGATTCAATAAAATTAATTACAAAAACATGATAACTAAATACAATTTAAATCATAACAATACAACAATAAATAAAAAGTTTAATTTGATTAGCCTTTTTGTTTCGGGTACGAGATTTTATTTATGAAAGAGGATAAGTTGTAGAAATACCTACAAAAACATTTAAAATATTTACCAATCCTGATGTGCGTGTTTCAAGCTGAACGTGTCAGAATCGCAGAGACTTTGGTAGATACACGCAGACAGTGCAACAGCAAGCTCTCTTAATGTGTGCAGTATTCTAGTAGCGGCACCGCCTGGAATCCCCAACTCTCCTATCGTGCCCAGCATATCGTGCGCGACTGACTGGAAATGTCAATAAAATCATTTTATATCTTAACATTTAAGAATATTATTGAATATCTATAATTTTGTGATGATTTTGTTAACGCACTTTAATACGATTTAAATATGATAGAGCAAAGAACAAAAAGTCACCTTAAATTTTGAGGCAACACTGTCATTATTAGCCAATTTATGAGAGAGCATTCATATTATATGTATAGTAAAATATATATAAGGGAATTTGATGGAAGTCTACTAACATACCCTTCATCTTGCCTGATTAATGGCTCGTTACTGCTACCCTCTTAGAAATAAGAGAAGACCGGTGTCTTTGGAATAGAATTAGCAATGAATTTATTAAACTGTAAACCGTGCAATGGCGGTGTAAAAATACCCACTACCGCATATCGTCCCGTAGGTGTCGGTAAGAGGCCGATAGAGGCAAACAAACCAATAGATGGGCAACAGTATCTTCCAACTTTCAACAACAACAAAAAAATTGCGCTTGCCAACTCGTCTGTCAAACGTTGCAATAGGATCGACATCATTATTTTGATGCTATTCCAACGCTTGACAAACGAGTTGGCAAGCGCAATTTTTTTTTAATAGGTTAATTGCAATTTTAAGCACTCATTTACTGCGTGTCTAAGCAATTAAAAATCATGTCAAAGACATGTACAATGCAGAGGTCAGGAGAAACTTGAGTAACAGCAGTATAATTACAGACTTCTTTACTAAACGAAGAATCATTTTATGAATTGATACTTTATTTTTCTTCTACAATAATATCCTCGTTGGAATCGATATTGTAACGGTAAAACATAGTTAGTAGATGTGGGCGTGAGCGCACCTGCAGGTGGCGCACGGGGTCGGCGACGACGGTGTTGTTGGTGGCGACGGCGGCGGCCAGCAGGGGTAGCGTGGTAGGGAAGGGCAGCGGCGACAGCAGTTGCTGGTGCTGCTTATCCTGGCCCAGCTCCTGCAGCAGCAGGACCAGCTCCATGCGCACGGATGCAAGCCCGCCGCCGCCCGCGCCGTGCAGCGAGCAGTACGACAGCAGCGTGCGCAGCAGCGTCTCATTCGCTGACAAATTATAAACATCTCAGTAATAGGATTCCTTATCAGCCCTAGACTCCGTCTGATTTAGAACTACCCTCATATTTTTGCCGTTGAATAGCAGTTCCTCTACTGTTCTACTCTCGTATGGACACCCAGTGTTGCAGAAAACAAATTACCGGCTTTGACGCATTTCATCTTAGTCCTCAGAGATCATAAAGCTGCATATAATCTGAGAAATTTTAATAATTAATATACTGGTAAAGATGAAAGTTAAACAAAAAGCACATTTTAATGCTATAAAAATATTGTTACTAATAATTTAACCTGTATGTTCGAAAGGCGACTTTATTCGCTACGCCGGTTGGCTCGCGACGTAAAATGGCGGGAATTGCTAATTTTTTGCTAACTTGCAAATTTTGCTATATTTTCACTTTGAGACAATATTTATGGATAAAACTTACAGGGATTCTTATTGAATGTATAAACTATCGAATAAAATTATTTTTAGTTGCTAGAAATTGTAATAAAATTCATAAATTACCCTTTATAGCATAGTATTAGTAGATACTTCACTTTTAGTCTAAAATTACTACTAATTTGAATTCTACACGTTTGTTTTTGGAGAAATCTATATGAAAATGTTTTGAAATATGTATATTTTTATGTTTATGTGTTTCTATTCGTTACTCATACCAAAATTAAACAAAAATAAAAAAAAATGAAATTAATTTTTATCTGTATGAGATTTCCGAACAATATTCCAAATATATTTTTGTGTGAATTTGAAATAAATACAACGTCAAGTTATTTGAAATATGTTATAAAACTATTTTATAGTTACATTTTACACTAAAAATAAATGAGAATTGGAAAAATAACACATTTTTGACCCAACCGCTAAAATGGGCCTTCCCGATTTCGAAGTACATTTGGCACTTACTTTTCACTTTTTATGCCACAAATTATATATCTACGTGTTTGTTTTATTTCAAGGAATACCACAAAAGTATAAAACTCACCTTTTTATTTCAAAAACACACAGAAAAACGGAGAAATCACTCAGAAATAACTCACGCACTACCACGCACTACTGTTGTAAAAAGCCATTACGTCAGAATGATTTTTATGTCTATTTTTAGTTCGAAATTGACAGATTATGGTACCAAATTAAAGAGTATGTCTTTGTTTATGTCTGTATAATACATATCAATGTCTTATATCATGTTTGAATACATTTCAGTATAAATTTGTTATAATTTATAATGACAAAACTTTTTTGTCGGGTTCGCCCTCATATTAGTCACATTACGGCTAAAGGCTTTCAGCTTAGTGCTTTCGTAAGAAGGACCTGTAATCTGTTTAAAAGGCCTGAGACGTATTTATTACTATATAAGTCACTCATTAGGTCACAACTCGAATACGCCACTTGTGTTTGGAACCCTTATTATGAAAAATATAGTGATCAGCTGGAATTGGTACAACGTAAATATCTTCGGTTTTTAAACTATAAATGCTTTAGGAAATGGTCATCGTATCTCACTCATTTAGACAAATTCTCAATTTCCACTCTAAAAATGAGAAGATTATATTTTGATCAGTTATTCTTATACAAAATCTGTCATAATAAATTAGATTGTAATCAACTCATAAATCAAATATATCTACGCATACCTAGTCGGTCCCAACGCATTCGTAATACGTATAGTCATCGTTTATTTGCTCCTAAGATGTGCCGAACAAACGCGGGAGAGAGAGCTCCACTACGGCGTATCATGAAATCATATAATGATAACTTTACTGATCTTGACATATTTGCTTTATCATTTGTAATGTTCAAAAAGTGTATTTAAAAAAAATACTAATAAGTAAAGTATTGCCTTAAGGTTTAACAGTTTATTAATGGTTCAACTGTTGCTTCTAGAGGCAAGTTTTGGCTAGCATAGCCACTACAGTGGTTGTGTTGGCTGGGATCTGCTCAGGGAACGCTCGAATTTATTCATCTTTTGTGGTATCATACAACATGTTTGCTGTGCATTATTATATTACTTTTATTGTGATATTACTTTGTGGATAACGGTGCTGGTTGTGTAATTATTTGTATTTCCCTTTTTATAAGACCTGTATTTTGTATTATATTTTATTACACAATTGTTTGTTGTCCTGAATAAAATAAAATAAAATAAAATAAAATAAATTATTAGTGGACAAATGTGTACCTTGCCGAGCGAGCGGAGGGCGTTGTGTTAGTCACATTTGTACCACTGTCGAGCGAAAAGGTAATTAAAGTTAACTTAGAACGTTAAACACCTCAGTTAGTCCATTGATGTACTGCACTCGAATCAAAACGTTAGGATCAAAAAGAAAATTTAAGATTAATTGGGACGAAATCCGTAAAATTAGTTTTATTCAATGTCTACATATTATTTATTTTGTTCGCGTAAACATACGATATACGATTGTAATTATAGCCACAGCTGAACAAGGGTTTCTCCTATAAAAGTAATATATCCACTCTGCAGCGTATCTGCAATCTTAATAGGACCGCCATATCAGAAAAACAGCGTAAAATATGTGACAGAATGTGTTAGAACCAAAGCCCCTTTTTAACGGTAACAAAAAATCCTATCATAGTAGTTTTTATAACTCCTTTTGACTCTTAACCGCGAATGTAAGACGCAACCATCATCTATTTACCGTCACGACTGTCATGTCCAACCCTAGGTAGATAAAAGCACTGAATCGATTATTTTTTTATGTATAAAAGCGTAGTTTCTGACGTAATCGAGGTAGTGCCGCTCGAACCCATAGTAAGTGCATATCGCATACGCCGTTCGTGGTTTTTGTACATTTCTTGTGTACATTTAATGCTGGAGAAATAAATCAAAAGAACTTTTGAGATTGGGTGTAAAAGTTTTTTTTTTTCAAAAACACCTTCAGATAGGTTTTCCTAAGTGTGTAGCACAAGGCACTGAAGATGAGGATGATTATGATGATAGTTTATGATTTAGTATCAATCATCATGTCGCCTCGTTGGTCGTTTTTGATCTATCTAATCCCTGTCCGAGTGGGGGAGTGCGGACTCCCGCCTTTGATTGTTCAGCTCGTGTGGATCGATGTTTTGGGCGATGAGAACCGCCCTATTACGCGGGTGTACGGTGTGTACGCGGTGTGTGCTGGAACGCGCCCCATCCGTTATCCTACTGGCGTTTGTCCCATTTGATGTGGATGAAGTATCGTTGTGTGTTGTATCTGCGAAATTTGGCTCGACTGGATCGAGCGGTCATCAGTACCTTTGAGCCAGCGGCGGCGGCGTACGGCGCGCTGCACCTTGGCCTCGAAGTCCGCCTTCTCGCGCACGAGCAGCTGGTGCAGCGTGGGCCGCTCGGGCAGCGGCGGCGGCTCGGCGTCCGCGCACAGCAGCTCGCCGCCCGCCGCACCGCCCCCGCCCGCGCCAGTGCCGCCCCCGCCGCCCGCCGCCGCGTACCCGCACAGCCGCCGTAGCGCCTCCACCTCTCGCTCCAGCCAGATGTACAGCTGGTAGCGCAAGTGCCCGCCTGCGCGAATATCATGTATAATACAATATAAAAATATTGTGAACTAGATATTTTTCACCTTAAATATAATCTTTATAAAAAATATTTATATATATATTAATTTATAATTGGTAGCTTCACTATAGGTTGTATGTACTGTATTACTTTAAACTGCTTAGTACTTAACGTTTAATTATAAATACCATTTAGTTATTTTTTTTAATCTTTAAACATACTGTGGTTGCAAGCTTTTAATATGTATTAGATATCTGTGGAAACTTCATTAGTTTTAGGATTACTTTTATATGTTTTATAATGTATTTTTATTGTACTGTATGTTTCCCTTAAAAAGCAAATAAATAAATAACATAAATGAATAAATTATTCACAATCATAAAAACACTAGGGAAAACTTCTCATTTGGATATATTTTATCAAATCAAAATAGTTTACATTATATCAAAAATTTAAGGTGACGTCACGACGGCCTTACTCTATCATAGTTAAATTTATCAAAGTTAAAATGATATAATATAAAATGATTTTATTGAAAATTCCAACCAGTCACTTACTATAGTAACTACAGTAAAACCTTGACATAACGATTTCAAAGGAGTTTAGAAAATATGTGTTATACCAAGTAATTTATTACAAATAGGTGGGTTTTAGCAAGGTAAGCAAACTTAAAAGAGTGAAATAGATTATAATGTTTTTACAACACTAACCATTAATTTATCTGAATTATGTTACAATTAATTGAACGTGTCGAGACATGAATTCTTGTAAGATGGATTGGTAGAATACATAACAAACATACACATATAAACATAAACACACGCCTGTCACCGAGAGAGGTAGGCAGAGACTACAGACTTCCATTTGGCACGATCCTGACACACCTCTCTCGCCTTCTCCACGTCCATATACCTACGCATAAATGTTGATCGGTTAAGGGTACTCTTAATTTGGCCAGTTTTCAATATATCGCCAATTTGGTCGATATACTTTCGCCTAGGATGTCCCTTTCCTACTATGCCGTTCACTTCTGCAACATAAATTTTCTTTGTCTCTCTTTTCTCATTCATTCTTTCCACATGACCAAACCACCGAAGCATTCCTTTCTTAATCCTGGTTACATCATCTTACAAACCACACTCTTCTCTTATGACACAATTCCTCACCCTATCATTCAAATTCAGCCCTAACATACTCCTTAGCGACTGCATTTCTACTGCGTTTATTATACTCTCGTGCTTCTTCTGCCACACCCAACTTTCACTTATACGTTAAAGTAGGGACAAACACAGCATTGTGAATTGCCATATGTGTCTTTTTTGACACATTTTGACTTTTCACAATGGAGTGTAGGCCCTACATTTACTCTATTTCCTAGAAGAATACTTTATTAAGAGTTTAATAATTATACTTTCTATTTATGCTTTGAAAAGATTGAAAAGTCCTTAAAAAGAGGTTTTTATATAAGCCATTCGTAATGTAAAATTATATTTTGCATTTACCTTTATGGCAAGTTCTACGGGATATATAAGAATTTATTAAATCTAAAACATTGTTATACTGAGATTCGTCATACTAAAGTTGTACTGTATTTCTATCCATCATTCCACTAAAGCTTATAAAAAACTACTGCTAAACATAGGCCTCCTGTAATTTTTAAGAGGGTTACAAAGCATTTAAGGGTTATGAAGCATTTAACCCGCCACGCTGTTACCTTGCGTGTGTGTGAGTGTATGGCGAACTTCACATGTTCTCGAAATATTTTAATCCTCCGACGTGCAGGTTTCCTTACGATGTTTTCCTTCACTACCAAGCACGTGGTAAATGGAGAAATTAAGGCGATAATTAAATTACGTACCAAGAAACTAATACGTTAGTAAAACTACTGTAGTTGGCATGATTATGACGTTGCATTAGGGCCTGGCCTTGTCCCCCCCCCCCCGAACGGTTTCCCGCCTTGTCACTGCCTGTTCACACGCACTAAGTACTTGTCACTTGTCAGTTGCACTTGATACTTATCACTTCTCAAAATGTAAACCGGGCCTTAGAATGTTTGACGCGACAACTAAAGGGCAACTTTCCTATTCCGTGTCGGACACGAAACTTCGCCCTATACTAGGGCTGGGCTGGCGAACCCGATTGCTGACATTAATTTCATCTTCAAAATAGAGACCATCAAAAAACCGTCCACTACTGAACAAAAGTCTCTCCAATAGTAAGAATTTACAATAATCACTATATTGATTATTCAATACTAGTCAACATCTTGGCCAAATCGTCATCATAATTTCATACTATTTATTTTTGAACCGCCCCCCCCCCCCCCCCAAAGATAAGGAGAATGTAGTACCCGTTCTGGACCCGTATGTAATTAATTAATGGACTCTCACATGATCATAAAACGTCAACATTTTTCCACTATACTTACATAAAATATACGTATAAATTGACACAAAAAACTTCATCAAGATATTCTTCAAGATATACATTTCGTGACAGTTTGGATTATGCGCAGTTACAGCTAAAAAACTGTTTTGTTGACGGAATTCAGGTAGTACACAAACTACGAGTTTTTAGTGCATACAAAATAAAAAATAAATTAATAAAACCAAATTTTACACAAGATCCATATAAATCCAGCTCCAACTCACTTACCATCAACTTCAAAGCCTGTAGCCAGTGTGCTAAGTTCTTCCATCAATATCTTGAGACAGGCTACGAATTTAAGCTGTTGCGCCATAATGTCAACTAAAGGTGGTTCTTCTTTCTTGTCTGAATCGAGTCCATTTACCATAGTTTCTTGTTTGTCCATTTTCATTTCTAGAGGCGGAGTAGATGTGCCGGAATCTTCAGATCTTTATTGAACATCACAGATTTTAAAAACTATTATTAAATTCGCAATAATTTTATTTTTGTTGAGTTTTTCCTACTGTTATATATAATACAAGATATTATGCCCGTAGCTTTACTTGCTTGGATGTGTTTAACATTCATATTAGTGGGCAATGTACCACGAAAGTGTGTAAACGTGTTTTTTCTCTGAAACTAAACTACCGTGCCTTGAACAGTAACGAGTTCATGTTAGTTAAAAACATTTTGTACTATTACAATTAAGTATAGACAATACTATATGGTCACCATAATCCGTACAAAAATTAGAAACAATAGCTTTTTTTAATAGTATATGGATGACAAACGAGCACACAGTCCATCTGATGGTAAGTAAACCTACCGTTAACTTCGATTGAAACTCAACATACCGATGTGTTGTCACCCCTGAGGACTAAAATGGAATGTCTCGTTTCCAGTAAAAAGGTTCTCTGGTTCTCTAAACTCATCATACAAAACACAGCAGCGTTAAGCTGCTATTTCACGCTGGTGTTCTGTGCGAGCGTGGTCCTGCCCCAGTCGAGCCGACTCTTTGGTGCTACAACCATAATATAGCTGCAGCGTGGCTCTACCACGTACGAAGATAGTTAAAATAAAAAAAAAACCTAGAACGTATTGTTACGAGCTTAAAGGTTCGTGATAATAAAAACTGCCGATTGAATTACCAAAATTAACACTTTAATCGCCGAACACCAATTTAACTTAAAAACACTAATAATTAATCACACTGATTCACTTTATTTCGCTCCGAACCTTCGCTTGTCTCGCCAAATTCAATACTTCCCAGACCGCATCTTGCAGCGCATTTAAATACACATTTTTCACCGAAACGTCCAGAATATTCAAGTAAATACGCGCGCCAACTGACAAGGCGCAGAAAGTTCGAGTGTGGGGCTTCCAGAAAGCTTAATTATTCTGTTCGATACTAGATGGCGCTATTGGTCGAAAGATTAATCATATTCATTTTCTGGAAAGCTCTCCTCGCTTTGTTACTCGACACTAGATGGCGTTAGTGCCAGACGTCAACTTAGGTGCGCAACACTGCCCCCTCCTAAGACATGCTCGTCCCGAGCATTATCGGCCCCATAATAACGCGCCAGGCGATCCACATGGACGATCTTAGGAGTTCCTCTTGCGCTTTTCTGTATCCGGTAGGTTACATCGTTGATCCTGGTCACAATCCGGTACGCGCCGTCCCATTTAGCTTGAAGCTTAGGAGATTTCCCTTTGCAGACTAGATTGTGCAACCACACTAGTGAACCTTCGTCGAACCCTTTGTTGTTCATTTTGCGGTCATACCGGGTTTTCATCTTTTCGGACATTTGCTGGCCCGATTGTCTGACGTGCTCATAAATGTCATTCATTTTATTCCGCAAGTCATTTGCATAATCGGTTATACTGCGTGGGGCATCAGGTGGTATCCCGGTGATCAGGTCTGCAGGCAGCCGTAATTCTCTTCCAAAGTTTGCGAAAGCTGGTTTCACTGATGTACTTTCATGAACAGCGCTGCGATATGACAACAAAAACGGTTGTATGTGGTTGTCCCAATCCCATTGCCGTTTGTCTACAACTTTTGCTAGGTACCTCTCCAATGTCTGATTAAATTGTTCTACCATTCCATCAGATTGCGGGTGATAAGAAGTCGCTCTTGTTTTATGAGTACCCATATAATATTTGAGACTCAAAATTCCTTCCTTGGTCGCTGTAAATCTCTAAAGGTACTCCAAAACGACAGAAGACTTCATGAACTAGTTTATCTGCAACTGTTGAAGCTTCTTGATTTGGAATGGCGAAGACTTCTGGCCACTTAGTGAAGTAATCCATCACAACCATGAAATACTTGTTACCGCTTTCACTCTCCGGAAACGGCCCATGGTGCACCAACATTATACGACTTCAATGCACCTCTACTACGAGTATGAGGTCCCTTTACAGCCACACAACTTGTACATTTGCGACACCAGTCCTCGATATCGTTTCGACAGTGGACCCAGTAAAACCGTTCTCGGATCTTCAGTAGAGTTCGTTTAACTCCCAGATGGCCTCCTGAACAATCATTATGGTACAGCTGTAGAACATCCGGTACTTTAGCTTTAGTTACAACCATTTGCAAATGACAGCTGTCTCCCCGAACATTTTCCCATTTACGGCACACAACTCCATCCTGAAGCAGCAAGCTGTCCCACGGGGCCCAATAGCTTTTAGTGGTCGAACTCATCGCTGAGACGTCGCTCCACTTGGGCTTGGGAGCACTGGCCATCATCAATTGCAGAATCGGCTTGATGTCCGGATCTTCCTGCTGTGCACGTTGTAAGCTGTCCTTCCACTTGTTGCTGAGGTGATCTGTCCTGAGCATCCTCACGGATACCACTTCTTTACTATATTGCTTATTACAATGTTTGCAATCTTCAGGACAAGGTCTTCTTGACAATGCATCTGCGTTGCCATGAGATTTCCCGCTGCGATGTTCGATATCAAAGTCGTATTCCTGCAGGAGTTCAATCCACCTCGCAACTTGTCCTTCTGGATTTTTAAACTGCAATAGCCATTTTAGTGCAGCATGGTCAGTTAGTAAGTGAAATTTCCGCCCCAGAAGATATTTGCTAAATTGCTGCAACGACTTTACCACAGCTAGCAATTCGCGTCTTGTGACACAATAGTTCCTTTCCGGTTTTGACAACGACTTTCTGAAGTACGCTATCACGACATCTTGGTCACCATTCCGTTGAGACAACACACCGCCAAGTCCTATATCACTTGCGTCTGTGTCAACTATAAATTCTTTGCTTGCATCAGGGTATCCCAAAATAGGTGTTTTGCACAGACGGTTCTTGAGCTCCTGGAATGCGATATTGCAACTTTCATCCCAGCAGAAATGTCGCTTCTCCTCGGTTAGCTTGTGCAGAGGTTTGGCTATATCTGCAAAGTTCTTCACAAATCGCCGGTAATAGGAGCACAAACCCAAAAATGCTCTAACCTGCGTTTTGTCTTTTAGAACCGGCCAATCCTTGACAGCGGCAATTTTCTCCGGATCTGTGCGGATACCTTCTTCCGATACTACATACCCCAAAAAGTTGACTTGCCGTTGGAATAGTGAACATTTCTTCGGACTCAACTTGAGGTTGGCACTCTGAATCTTCATGAGCACGCGTTCCAGGTTTTGACGGTGTTCCTCAAACGTACGGCCCACGATGATGATGTCATCCAAGTAGACCAGACAGGCATCGCCAATTAGCCCGGTAAGTACGCGTTCCATCAGCCTATCAAACGTTGCTGGAGCATTGCACAATCCAAACGGCATTACTTTAAATTGCCACAGACACTTTCTCGTCGAGAACGCAGTTTTCTCCTTGTCCTTAGGGTCAATTTCAACTTGCCAGTAGCCACTTTTTAGATCCAGCGTGCTAAACCATTTTACTCCTGTAAGCATGTCCAGCGTGTCATTAATTCTTGGCAAGGGATAGCTGTCCTTCCTTGTAACGTCGTACAGACGGCGGTAGTCAACACAGAACCGCAAGCTGCCGTCCTTCTACTTTACCAGCACCACGGGTGAACACCATGGACTAGATGAAGGTTCAATAACACCATCCTTGACCATTCCCTCAATCATGGTTTCCACTTCCTTTTCACGTGCTACCGGCAATCTTCTTGGCCGCTGACGTATAGGCAATTCTTCTCCTGTGTTTATTTTGTGTTGAACCAAGCCAGTCTTTCCTATGTCAGCTTCGTTTGGTGAGAATACATCGGAGTACTTGAGTAACAACTTCTTCGCCTTGACCATTTCGTTCGGGGAGAGAACGTTGCGACAGTCTTCCAAAAGTGTGGTCACTCTCGTTTGTGCATCCTTGCTGAGGATCCCACTCGATAGATATTGGCACCAACGTAACCAATCCACTTCCTCACAAGTACCAATCAGTGTGCCTTTTTCTATAATCTGTTCCTGGTCAGAAAGGTTCAGCACACGTACTCCTTCGATGTCAGTGGTTCTGACCAAGGTTCTAGCTACTTTCCATGGAAGGTCATTGTTTACCCTTTCCACAAGTACACAACGGTGAGCTTGCCCAGCGTTTCGAGGAAGACTAACCGGCACATTCGTTTCGGATCTTGGCGGAAGAACAATCTTCTTGATGCTGTACACGTTCCCTGGTAACGCATCTACCATAAAAAGTTCCTACTGCCCACATTTCAAAACACCTTGCTTAACGTCGATCTCACAACAATTATTCCTCATAAAGTCTAGGCCCAGGATGCAGTCGTCCATTATATCAGCCACGATGACATTATGCAGGTAGATCATGTTGCCTAGCTTCAACTCCATCTCCTTCTCTCCACGGACGGGTATACGCTGAGCGGTGGCTGTTACCAAATTAATGCGTTCTCGGTTGTATGCGAAGTCCCCAAGGAACTGAATTATAAGTTGGGAACTAACAACCGTACGAGAGGCTCCAGTATCTATGGTCAGTTTACACGGCATTCCGTTGACCTCGCCTTTGATGATTAGACTGTTCCCATCATGGGTTTGTGAGATCGTGATCCATGGAACTCTTTTAACATCAGTCAGCACCCGCCCCGCAGTTCCGGCTTTTACTCGTTTCGCTGCTGCTGCTGGGCGGTGCTGTTGGCCGCACTACCCTCCTGAGATCGTTCACCTTCCCTTTCTAGGGTTCGCTTAGGGCAGCTGGATCGTAAGTGGCCCCTTTCCCCACAGCCATAACACCTAGGGCTGTATCCTTTATTGCGGTCGCGAACTATAGCTGCTGCAACCTCCCTGACGCGATGGGAACGATGATCCTGCCGCACGGCTTCCACCTCCAGTGCATGGGCTAAGGCGTGCCCGAGCCTCACAGCAGCTCTGACTTCAAGGTCGCGGATGCCATCGATGAATGTCTGCACCAGTTTCCCTTCAATGAGCGCAGGTAGGGACCTTTATGCTTTTCGCACCAGCTTCTCCACCTCTAGAGCCCACTGCTGCAGGTTTTCGTTGATGCGCTGCACGCGATCTTTAAGCTGCGCACGAAAGACGTGTTCCAGGTGAGCATCGCTATATCTCGCCTCCAATGCCTCAAGGTGCTGCTCATAAGTCACTTCCTTGCCGAGAGCTTTCAGAACTGTTAAGGCCTGGTCACGCAAGCCTAGTGTGAGAGCAGTCATGGCCTGACTTTTATTCCAGCCGTTCGCCTTCATAACAGCTACGAACTGGATTTTGTAGGCCGACCAGGAAGAAGGCCCGTCGAACGGTGGCACCTTGAACCCACGTAGCGAAGGTGTTGTAGCTACTACGGGAGCTGTAATTCCATCCTCCAGTTTGAGGTCGTCCAGCGTTTTCTTCACGTCAGCCATCACGTAATCAACCCGATTGTTCACTTGGTCGATTTGGGTTTTAGCTTCCTTGATTTGGGTTTCAGCTTCCGCCAGACGGTTGTCATGTTGAGCAACCCTATCCTTTACCTCCCTTATCTCTTTCCCGAAGTTACCGTGAATGTCCTTCACGAGGAGCATCTGCTCTTCCTGGCGGCGGGCCTGTTCCTCCTGCTGCTCTTTCAACCAACGGGCCTGTTCCTCTTGTCCACCCCGCAGCTGCTCTTCCAACTGATGGAACTGTTCCTCCTGTCGGCGGGCCTGTTCCTCCTGTCGGCGAGCCTGTTCCTCCTGTCGGTGAGCCTGTTCCTCCTGCTGCTCTTTCAACCAACGGGCCTGCTCCTCCTGTCAGCGAGCCTGCTCCTGCAGCATCACCATCAGAGCACCTAAGTCAGGTGCTGCAGATGTAAGAGCTACTGACGGGCCTGCCGCCGGCGGCTGACCCTCCGACCACCAAATCTTCTTTGGTCCGTCTCCTGCTGGCGTTGACTTCGGGACCTAAGGAGGAAACGGCCCCTCCGTTTCCTCCTTAGGTAAAATTGGCATGATTTTATCCCACTTCTGACACCAATTGTTACGAGCTCGTGACAGTAAAAATTGCCGATTAAATTACCAAAATTAACACTTTAATCGCCGAACACCAATTAAAACTTACAAACACTAATAGTTAATCACACTGATTCACTTTATTTCGCTCCGAAGCTTCGCTTGTCTCGCCAAATTCAATACTTCCCCGACCGCGTCTTGCAGCGCCTTTAAATACACATTTTCACCGAAACGTCCAGAATATTCATTTAAATACGCGCGCCAACAGAAGAACAGAAAGTTCTAGTGTGAGGCTTCCAGAAAGCTTAATTATTCTGTTCGATACTAAATGGCGCTGTTGGCCGAAAGATTAGTCATATTCAATTTCTGGAAAGCTCTCCTCGCTTTGTACCCGACACTAGATGGCGCTAGTGCCAGACGTCAACTTAGGCGCGCTACACTATTATATACTACATAAAATTACTTAGAGGATAGGTTTTTTTATAAAACTAAAAACTATAGTCCGGACGCGAAGCAGGTGATTTTCGTACGTTGACCTGTTATTACTTGTCTCTGTCTCACTCCCCCGTAAGTATAATGCGTCTCGCTCGCACAGATGCAATGACCGCTGTCCTCAGGCATTGTAAACCTTTTACCTGAGACTGTAAGATTTGGTTGCACGTGGTATTTGGTTTGCCTGGAGGCACGACCAAAAATTCTTGGTTGGCTTGACATAATTAATAATTTTTAAATAACGAACAAACGACATCGCGATCGCTCAGTTTACGGACACAGTTACCTCTGTTATCTACTCTTAGTTTGTTTTTGTATGTTAATTTTAGTTATCTTGTTTTAATTGTTAAGCGGTTTTGATAAGTTTAATGTAGACAAAACTGTTGAGTTTTTTGTAATAAATGTGACAGGCGGAATGTCATCGGAAAGCAGTAACTCCGATACAGAGAAATCGGATTCTGATTTTCGAATTTAATTTTTTTATTTCTGCCAAATTAGTAATTGTAATGGAAGACACACACGGTCACACGGTCAGTTCAACTGATCATTCCGACTGATCAGCTTAAACTACGACTGTTAATAATTTTTAAAATATCGGATTTTCGACATATCTATAAATAAACTTATATATAAAACTCTGATATTGATATATTATATATTTATAATAATTGATTTATCGAAAATCCGATATTTAAAAAAATATCAATAGTACTAATTTTAACTGATCAGTTAGAATGAGCAGTTGAACTGACCGTGTGTGGCGACCATAACTTGAGTTTTATAACAGTTTTTAATGATTTCTTATATTTACGCGAACACTACACATTGATTAAAATAAAGAAGGAGGCTGGGTACTACCACCTGCTTAGGACTCTGTAATTAATAAAATTAAAACTAAACCCAAGCATACCGCTACAAGACTTCAAGTCACAGTAAGTTCTTTCTGCGTAGATCGGACCATACACAATAATTAAAAAGCTGAAGGTACTTCGGGTTAACATTGACATCGGGACGTCAGTCACCTCAGTCCCCGGTGACCATGGGTGCTGGTAGGCACCCGAAGAAATTAAAAATCATTTAAAGTTAAACGTGACAAAATACGTAAAAGTAGTTTTAATCAACTGTTTTTATACTAAAATCAAAATAAATAATTTATATAACTCCAATAATTTATTTAATACGATAGTAAATTTATTTTTTTCTCCTTCAAATATTTCATAAAAACTACACTTAACACAAAAATGTTTGTGACCACTGTCAGTAGGCAAAGAGGTCATTACGAAATTCCTCCTGCTCCGCGACTTTACTTTAGCAGTAAATTATTCTTAAACTAATATTATATTCTTAAAAATTACATTTAGATATTCTTACTCTTTGTCTTCATCATCCCATGTGAGAACGAGCTCGTCATCTTTTGTAGAACTGACCGGCGCGCCCCAGTCTAGTGACGTCGAAACCCACTCGAGATTTTCTTCTTCCTCTGTTACAATACCAATGAGAAAAAAATACAATCCCTAGTATTTATACTATACGATATTATGTTTTTGACAACATGCTAACATGGATACTTGGGGTTCAAATACGCAAGTACACAAAATTTTCAATCATAATTTCGTTATTGAATAAGTGTATCTATTAAGATACAGACGCAATATAAAAATTAAATGTAACTTACTTTTGGTGGTTAAGTTTTCCACAATCTGTCCAGTATGTATGTATGTTTCCTCAACAGATGGCGCAGCGATAGGCTGTTTCAATTTCTGATCTCTCACACGAGCAGGTAATTTTGAGAGAACTTCTAAAGCCAATGCCGGGCAGCCCGCCTTGAAGTGGCCATGTGCAGTTTGGAAGTACAGGCGACGCTCGAGACGTGTGATGCCTTCTTCCACTTCCTGTTGCAGGAGAGCTAGCGTCCCACCCTAAAAATAGTGATATTATTTCACACTTACTACTTGTATATTTATTTTATTTAATTAATCGAAAAGAAATCTTGAATATACAAAATTGTCTTCAGTGATGTTAATGCAAGTTTCACCTTGCACTTGCCTCCTTTGTTTACTGCAGGTGTTCGTTAAGAGCGCGACGTACCAACACACAAAACGACACAAAATACCAAAATAATTTAAACATCGTTACAAATTATTTTGGCATATCATCAATAACCAATGAGATATTTAAAATTTAGCTTTTAATGCAAAGTACTGATTTCTTATATTTACGCGGACATCACACGTTGATTAAAACCACTTTTACGTATTTAATCGCATTTAATTTACTTGATTTTTAATTCCCGGCGTTTCAGGTGCTTTACAATACCCATGGTCGCGGGGGACTGATTTGAAATAGACTAAGAGTTGCAAAGGTTATTGGACTATTTACATGCTGATGATAGTGACTACAATTAAGACGAGGTCTAAGCACGATTTCAAATTCGGTTTTCACCCGCGTGTCCCGCAGTGGGCGGAGTGTAACCGGCAGTCGGAGAGCGCAGCGTGAACACAGTATGCGCGCAAAACAAGCAGACAATTCATCTCCAAACAAAAACTTTTCCGTGAGGTCTCCTGTTCGCAAAACTACTAGGTACTAATAATATTTTCACCACCTACTCACTAATATCGAAACTACTTACGAGGTCTGGACATCAGACTACATTTTAACTATCAATATTTTTTTGAAGTCAGTTTTATGATATAAGCAGGTACTTAGTCAAAATAGCTAAAATAACTGAAAAAGGATAGTTTAAATAAAACGTAAAGAAATTCATATTTATTTAACTGTTTTGTATAACACATCAACTCAACATTCAATAAACAACCTCACACATAATATTGCTTAAATAACCGGTCGGAGTAATAAAAAAACCGGTCAAGTGTGAGTCGGACTCGAGCGTGAAGGGTTCCGCACCATCATACAAAATTTAGTACTATATGGGAACTATTTTAAATTTATTTTTGAATAGAGAGAATGTTAGTATTAATTAGAGTTTATTGTGTATGTTTCATTTTTTATTCATTTCTTTTAATTTTATTTGCTTTAATAGCCTCTTCTATCCCCATTTTGAAGGCCGTTATTGGGCATTTGACTTCCATTATTGTATCGTCACCCACTACCCCGTCCAGCGGTGCACCAATAAATGAATATAAAATACTATATTAATTTTCAGATTTCGTTACTTGTTTTCTAATAAGTTTTAATTTCTCGATTCCTAGGTCAACGGAAACTAGACAGACAGACAAACGGAAATACAAACAGACAGACATAAAGACGGACAACGTAGTGATACTATAAATCCTTGTATATATAATCCATATTTTGGGTTCCTTTTTTCTTCCAAGGTACGGAACTCTAAAAAGAAATATATGTAAAAACAAATGTAATGTGTGACACTTAGTAATGACGAATCGAATGATATCTCAAACTTATCACATTACTTATTGATTGTTATCAGAAACAGTTAGAGCCACTGATGTGAATGTTAAACAATATTAACGTAAAAACTGCGGCAAAAAGAGCGACACGTCTATACAGCATCAAGCCTCGGCCGATAATGTCTGTACACAGGCGTTTACGCACACATACGTACGTATTATTTCAGAAATGAGAATATGCGATTTAAAAAAAATCTATTAATTGGACTAAAAAATTTAAAGAATATAACGTTAATATGTTGAATGTATAATAATCTGACAAAAAATCAGAATGATAGTATGTATATTAGGATGGTTTTTACTTGTTCAAAGAAATTTGTAGAGGTATATTTGTGATTTTTTTCCTGTCGTATCAAATTAGTAGTATCATGTTTTCAACACAATATCTAACTAGCATATATCCAGGTTTGTATACTGCAGTGGTTCATATACTTTAAGGTATTATAAAACTTGCGTTTAGCTCTAGGCCTCGTCTTAATAATAATAATGTCCTCCAGACCGAATTTCGGTCACGGCGACGGACAGGATTGTAGTGCTCAAGTGTATGCGCAAGCACAGGTTCACTCTCTCTCACTCTCATAGTCCGATGGAACGGTAAATCGACACGACTGGAGAGAGATCACGCGCAGAACCAACGGCTTTACGTGCTTTTCGAGGCACGGGGGTGAGAGCCTACTTCCTGACTCCGGGCAGCTACTGAGAATTTCTTCACGGAAAAACTCAATTGATTTATTTTATTATTAGTTTGACTACAATTATATAATAAGTAACAAAAATGATAAAACAGTAAATATACCTGACATGGCAAGTTGTTTCGTTTTAACCGGGGATGTGTGCGAAGATAGACATAGAAATTGAACACACTGGGCATTGGCTCGTTGTCCCTGGCCGAGTGCAGTCGACCCGCGGGACATATCAGCGTGTCCAAAGCTTCGCCGTAACGTTTCAGTTCCCATAGGGCCATCGAACGTATAAATGGGTCGGGATGAGCTCTTTCTAGGTCTATTTCTCCATCTTCTGTTTCACCACTGAAAATAAATTTTAAAATGTTTATAATTATTTCACATAATAAATATTTTCAAAGGATTAACCCCAACTTATGTTTAATATGAAAGTAATCGAGATCTCACCCAAGAACCTCATCCATTAATAACTTCTTCAAACTAGGTGGCAATGTATTGTCGGACTCATAGAGCCGAGCAATAACCATAGCCAATTGCAAATCTCCCAAGCGTGTAATTAACACCTAAAAATCATAAATGGTGGAATAGTTAATACGCATCAATTACAAAATCCATTAAATTATCACGAATCTATTAAAAAGAATTACCTCTAAAGCGTCCTTCAAAGCTCCTCCCAATAGGAAAAACGCGGCTGCATGTTCGAACCTCTGTTTACCAAGCAGTACGAAAGCGTTCTTTAAGGCTGCTTTACGCCACCGATCTTCCGAAAAATCGTTGGCGAAAAACTGTAAAACAGAGTTAAAATGTAATAAACATAAGTAATGCCATCTTTAGCGCCAAGCGCAATCACATAAATAAATTAATGTTGAACTCAATATCAATAAAGTAAACGAGTTAATTATTAAAGAACTAGTTCAAAATTACCACTGATAGAATTAATGTCTGTTGAATGGATATTGATAATGACATTGTTAAGAGCTTAGTGTCCGTGAAAATATAAACTGCCGATTGAATTACCAAAATTGACACTTTAATTACCGAACACCAATTAAAACTTAAAACACACTAATAATAAATCACACTTAACTTCTCAAACTTCGGAGCGACATAAAGTAAACTAAAGTGTTCACTTTATTTCGCTCCGAAGTCTCCGCTTGTACCGTCAATTCAATACTGACTCGGGTCGCGGCCAATACCAGTCTCATATAAGACTGAATACATCTAGAATGTTCGAGTAGAATGTCAAAAGTTCTAGCAAGGAATTTTCTAGAAAGCTCTCTCAGTTCTGCTATTCCATAATAGATGGCGCTAGTGAATTTTCAAGAAAGATCTTGACGCTCCTATTTCTGCTACTTGATACTAAATGGTGCTAATAATCACCCGCCATGTACCAGACATTAATTATGGCGCGCAACAATATGCCTTTACATTACGTACGTACGTACGTTTACTGTAGCGATAAAAATAGGTAAAGAATGTATAAGCCTATTGCATAGGTATTTCTCTTTATTAAAAAGTTTTAATTTTGGTAAAAACACAGCTATATTCTTTCTCACCGCCGTCATCTTGTCGTCACGGTTGGAGCGGAACAACCCCCATAGCAGCATTCTCTTCTTCATGGCGAGGTAGAAGAGCGCGGCGTCCATCGGGTCCTGCTTCGTCATGTACGAGGCGCGTGCTAACTTCTCTACGGCCGTGCGCAGCAAATCACCGCGAACCCACCAACCCACGCCTGGATTAAGTATTAATATAAATATTAGATATAATAAAAACATTATGAAGGCTACAAAATTTCTCAAGGCTCGTGGCCAAAAAACAAATATTCACATTAACAGTCTTTTAATTCAATATTCACCAATACTCACCAACCAAGGCAAGCAAATTATTTAATAAGCCGATATTTCGATATGCCGATATGCTTGTCCGTCAATCAGTCATTTTTTTTACGGGGTAGAGCCATGCTGCAGTTATATTTTTAGTACAGTTGTAGCACGAATGGGTCGACTCGACCGGAGAGGGACCACGCTCTCACAGAATACCAGAGTCAAATAGTAGCTTAATGCTGCTGTGTTTCGTATGGTGAGTGTAGAGAACCGGAGACCCTTTTTACTGGAAACGAGGCATTCCACCTAAGTCCTCGCGGATGACAACGCATCTGCATTTTGATTCGTAATCGAGGATAGATGTAGATACCTATGGGCCACAGCAACCACTTACCATCAGGTGGACTGTGTGCCCGTTTGTCATCCTATCCTATATAAAAAGCATGGTGCTAGAGCACCATGTGCAGATGAGGTTTGTATTTGGAGAAAAGATTGACACCACTGAACACAAAAATAAGTAGAAAGGCCTTACTACACATTTTTTTGAAAACCGCCGTAGCCCGATTAACTTTGATGAAGACAATTGGAGTCTTACGCACATTACTATGACGCCTTTCTTATCATGTTTTATGGTTGACACATTCCTCATTATATCCTTAAATATCAATTTATGCAGGAAATAATTACGATAAAAAATAACCAGATAAGAAATTATTAAAAGTAATGGATTGCATATCGTGCTATCCTGAAGGAAATAAGTAAGTAATGTAAAAAAAAAACTTGCCCAATTCCCTCATTGTAGACCACTTTGGCTGTCCTTTTGTGTAGCCAGGTATCAGTGAAAGCAGCTGTTCGTGCGTCTCCGAATGGTAAGCCCATACCAAGTTGCACGTGCCGACGCCATTTCGTTGCAACGTTGCGCGTTGCGCCAGTGGAAGACACCGCAACAAGTAGCCATAGTGCTTCATTGCCAGCAGGAAGCGTAAGCCGCAATCATCTAGAGAGTCTGATACAATTAAAATTAAGTTAGTAAAGTTGTTAGTAAATTGTAATAAAAAATACATCAATGACCTATATATAACTGCTTAAGGGCTGGGCGGACTGCGCGTTAACATGGCGCCAGCAAAATGTTTCTTTTTGCACCCGAGTGAATGAACGAAGTACGTCCGTTGGGCTGTTGTGGAAACGGTCGTAAATACTAGAAAAACTCCGGTTGAATCGTGAAGGGCGCGAACTACGAACGATTGCACCCCAAATAAAAATTGTATTTCATGTGACCAATAACTTAACAATATGTCATTATAAAAACTTTCTTACATTATTAAAATATTATTGTTTCCGAATTGTTTCAACATTTAATAAAGACGAAACGATTTCGTCTTTAGGTAGCACGAAACTGATCCCGACGATCACATCGTAGTTTTAACAGATGGCGTTGGTTTTTCTAATACGGAAAAGGCGTCAGACAATAGGGTATTTAACGCCATGTAAAAAAATCAAATATATATATATATATATATATATATATATATATATATATATATATATATATATATACTCAATTGCTGGTGTGCGTGTGGGCAAACTTAATTATAGGCCGCTTATGCATACATACATTCATTGCGTTGTTGCTTCAACTTTGAACGGATTTTTGAATGACACTATCACTCTAATTAGTCTATGAGATCAAGTCTAATTACTTTATGATATATACGTGTAATATGGCGGACAGCATTTTGCAGATATAAGGCACAGACAAAAAAATATTCTTCGAATTGAAATATATTTATAATGAAATTTTATTAATAGAAATCAATATTTCTCGTTCACTTTTTACAATATATATATATATATATATATATATATATATATATATACATCACGATATTGATTCTACGTCCTTTCATTTCGCATTATTATAGCGTCCACCACTTGTAGGCAATTTTTGAAAACTATGACAGCGTATATTGGTCCATTAAACAAATTCAAAGATAGTGTTCAACTCATTTTTTTGAATATTTAGTATATGTCGATATACAAATATACGTATATTGCCAGACGGAGGGAAACCAATCGGGACTCCCTTCCATATTACCAATTATTCAGAATCCCCGTAATATACATAGTTTTTAATTCATTCTCCTGCTTATCGCAATTCCTTTGTATAGTGCGACGTTGCCACTCTTATTAGTTATTCTGTTTTGTAATATTTTATTTATAGGTGATATTTTGTTTAATGTAGAACTATAAAATTTATTGAATATAACCGCAAAATTTTAATTGACTATATAATTTAATCTTAACACATTATAATGTAAATTATTATGATGTTAGTAATAAGAATAAGATTATTTTATGTTAATATAATTATCAGAAATTTTCATTTTAATAATAAAATAAAAAATATTTTGTATTTAATTATTACTTTTCACACCGGTAGGAAGAATATTGCAGTATTTCTGTTAAATTGTTAAGACCTATTGTAACCCATATATTGCCAACGAATAAATGAACTTGAATTTAAATTTGAATTTCTCTACACTCACCATACAAAACACAGCAGCGATTTTACTCTGGCATTCTGTGAGAACGTAGTGCTTCCCCGGTCGAGTCGAATCATCTTTACGTCAAATTAAAAATGTATTTGATTCGTTTAGCACGAATAATATAGTTTTTATCATTCTGGTTCAGATTAGATTTAATTTTAGTCACTTAAGTTTCGTATATTGTGCAAAATAATGAAATAAATGTACAGAATGTGCAATGTGAAATTGAGAAAATATAATTTTTGTCTACGGCAAAAAAAATAGACTATGTATCATGATTAATTTACCAACTAGTTATTCGTTGAGTCAATACAAAAAATATCAAAAATTGCCGAGCCGTGATAAATTATAGATTGAATATATTATTATTTACTTTAATTGTAAATACGTACTGATGTAAAATGAAACAAATATTGAGATCAAATAAAACGTTTATTGAACAAGCATCTTCTTTCAAACATTTGTTCAATGAAGTAGATACTTAGAATAAAGATTTATAATAAGGAACATAATTAACACAATTTGGCACTTGAAATAACATAGGTAGTAATTTAGAGCAAAACTTTTGACGCACACAGTGCTCCAAAAACCGCTACAAACGGCAACATTAATTAAAAAAAGAAATAAGAAAGGTGTTCTAAGCGTTTTATCATTTCTAGAATTGTGTAATGTGAAAAAACTGTTCTAGAAAAGTGACTATTTTACACCGCATGGCATCCCTACACTGAAATATAAAAACAATAGCGAAAAATGTCATTAAAGCAATGGTCATTAAAGTGTGTTTTATACACAAGGAATTAAAATATAAATATATTCATGGTTATATGGACGTCAAATATCGTGCGGTATGAAACTTTACCGATAATCTGACGTCCACATATAAAAATATAACAAAATTCAAAAGTATGGACGTTAAATATCATTCTGTACGAATGTTTTAGGATATTCGAACGTCCGTATTATTATATGTAGCTAAATCTAAGGACACGTAAAGAAATTTGAAAGTAAAAATAGCACTGAGTACAGTATAAACCGACAAAAAATACCAAAATATACCTTGAGCACTAAATAAATAAGTAATCAACATAAATAAATAGTAAAACGCAATAATCAACAACATTGGACATCAGATATCAAAGAAATGGATGTCAAATAAAACTTTGTGAGAATATTTTAGGATATTCTTACGGCCGTATATGGGTAAATACTCAACTATACATTAATCAACTTAAACAAGTTTAACTAAGGAAACTTAAATGCAAGCAAACAAGCGTGGAAAGTTCTTAATGTGCGTAGGTCACAGTACGGACGCCAAATAAAGCACGATATGCATGTTTTTTAGTAATATAGCGTCCAATATGAATAAAAATTATAATTGTATTTCAACTAAATGCAAAACCAAACATATCATAATTTAACAAAAATAGCCTTTCACAAAATAAAATCAAGTTAAGTAGATAGTAATTTCTTACAGATTAGGTACAATAGTCGCACTCATCCTTAAGATAGTGATCATAAACAGTAAACTCGCAGTGAGAGCACCAAAACTCAACACGATCAAGTAAATAAATTATATTTTCGGAGTTATTCATGTCAGCAAAATTATGCCACGGTCTGTTGTAGGAATTAACAAATCTTTGGCAACTAATCCAGTAAAACCTTTTATTAAAATGAATTTCTTCCCAAGGCCATATTAGGTTATTAGTCAGAATATAACAAAACAAACTTCTATTCAAAAACCTGTCAATATCTAAAATTAACTCCATCTTTTTGTACTCAATCAGAAGGTAATTTATACTCAAACAGAATTATGGGTTGCTTACGACATAACAAAAGTTCTTATAGGCAGTTTAGTACTGTACAGTACATAAATGTAAAATGTAAAAATATAGTGCAGCATGACGTAAACCGATAATATAAGTTACTGAGATCCCTTCATCAGCTATGAAAAAAGCTTATGACCTTAAGACCGCACCTCACCTCTTACTACTCTCACCTCTTTAGGAGCTACGGTGTCACAGACAGGCAGACAAACATTCACGTAAAACTTATAACAATCCTCTTTTTTACGTCTATTATTCATGGATCCAATCAATCATTAAATTCGATAAGGTTGGACTAAGAGAGCGAGATGGAATTTTGACAACCAGCAATGTTTTAAAAACAAAATACGAAACTAAACAAAAATACCACAGTAATTCGTAGGAGAATTCCCGAATATGGCTATTTGTTGTTTGTATAGGCATTTTGGACGAAGACTTTTATTTTTAACCAGTCTTTGTTGTGCAGAATTTCAGTATGTTGACTACGAAGTTCCTCGCACTCATGGCGTTTTGGCGGTTGTTTATTTTTAATATGTTTGCTAAAAAACTTTTTAACTATACTTTTCTGTTCTGTGGTCCAAGGAACAAGGTTTCGTTTTTTCTTTGTTTTAATATGTGTAGCATTGGTAGCATCGCTAAGTAGAGTTGACTGCGGAGTAAGGACAGGGTTATCGTCTGTGAACTCTGTTTCTTTTGATTTTTCAGTTGGTAATGCAGCATCGTAATCTATTAATTCATCACTGTCGTAATCATCGTGGCCCTGTGCGTTTTCTAGTAAATCTTGTTCTAAATCTAAGTTTATGTCATCCAAACATTTGCCTCTATAAGAGTCTGCTTTGCCACTCTCCATGAGCAGCAGTAGTTTTGATAGTTTGTTTGGTTGTTGGGTAATCTATAGTTTTGTCTGTGGACAGCCTGTGTGTGCCCCATAAAGTTAGCTAGTTGTTCAATGTCTGATTCTTTAAGGTTAAACATCTGAGTCAACGTAGCCAAATGTTTGCGTAGCTTAGTCGTAGTAATAGCTGCAGGATTTCGAGCTCCACTTGCAGTGGCATACTTTTTCAAGACCTTATAACCACATAATGTACTTTCAGATCCGGGTTTTGCAAACAAAAAGTCGTTTTTTTCACATATGTAATTACGTCTCACAGAGATAAGCAAATTGATGTCACTTTGGACTTCGTCAGTCAACAGAACGGGCACACCTCGACCTCTTTTTACCCCGTATAACAATACGCTTAAAACTATTTACCAACACTTTTTCCGCACTTGAAGCTATTTCAATTGCGGAATTAGCTATTCGGTCAAATTCCTCATATGCGCTTTTGTCATTGCTGCTCTCTTGGTAGATGCTGAGTGGGAGACGTTGCAGTTCACCAGGCCGACGTCTGTTGAGAAGAAGAACGCGGCAGTAAACTGTCTCTGTTAGAGTGTTGTACGCTTCAATATTGCTAGTTTCGGATTCTATTAACTTAGATGCTGCAGACTTAGATTTTTCGCAAAGATAATTTTTAAGGAGTTTTAAGTCTTTCGCAAGAGGAACAATTGTAATTTTATTCCATTTTTTTTAAGTTTAAGTCATTGCAGGCCTGGCTTGAAACATCAAACTTCCAATTAGTCTTGATGAGATGAATTAG